TTTTTTCTTTTTTTTTTTAATTTTTTTCATTTTTTTCAAAAAAAGTTTTTCATTTATAGGTATTTATTATACAAGACGATAAAGAAATTGTTTATCTACGAGTGAAAAGATTAAGTTTACGAGTGACGAAATCACGAGTGGACTTTTTTCACTAGTAGATAAACAATCTTTATCGTCGTGTATAATATTTCATTTTATTTTGTACTCACCTACCAGAATTTCTTGAATATAAACAGTAGATAAAAATTACCTTATTTCACAAGACGATAAAAGACTATCTACTTTATCTACTAAAATTAGTTGATAAAAGCATTCTTTAACATTGAGTACAAAATAAAAGTCATATATCTGAGCGATAAATTGACGTAAAATGAACGTCAAAAAAGCATATTAAAGGTAAACGAACACCTATTCATTGACTTAACTAAAAAAAAATTCTCTACGTCCGTAGACTAAAAACAAAATCATAAAAATTTAGAATTTTTTTCGCGCTATTACTCGTACTTGGAATTGCGTGATAACCGTTGCACAGAAAAAAAATTGACAAAAGATTTCAAAACACATACGACCATTTTTCGATGAGTTACAGCCTTTCTAAAATCAAAAATTTAAGAAAATTTTTTGTTTCATTATTTGGAATTAATTTTTCATGACTTTGTGTTATTTGAAAATTTTGAGTAGTTAAGGGGATCGCAGGATGTGTCTCAAACGTGCAATTTCAGGCGAAATGGCCCCTAAATACAAGGCCCTCCTCTTGAACACATTCCTGTCGGGAACAAAGGACGACGACCACCTGATCCGAGCGTCCAGCTTATCGAATTTAGGGGAAGTGTGTAGAGTGCTTAATTACAAGCTGGGAACGATAGTAACTGAGGTATGTTGGTGTTGGGTGTGAATACATAGCGGAATGCTGTTATCTGGCCAGAATTCTAATTATCATATTTGCATTTATGCCAGGTTTTGGTGTGTGTTCACGCAATAGTAGCGACAGATAAGGCCGTAGAGGCACGACGTGCTGCCGTTACGGTTATAAGACAGTTGTTTGTTGGACTTCAAAGCGAAATGATATCTTTTCTTAAGGAAGAAATCTTGCCAATTTACAGGACTCTCAAAGAGATTTATTATAACGATAAGGACGACATTATGAGGCTCCAAGCGCAGTTGGCGCTTGAGGAACTTAACGAAAATATGAAAAGTTTTGTGTTCCCAAATCCGCAACTTAATTTCGAGAAGAAGGTTATTATGCTAGACTAAATGAAAACACTTATTTTTGTCAAAGTTTATTTGTATATAGTATAAGGAATAGAAAAATAAATAACCAATTGCATACTATACATGGTGTTTTTCCTCGAATATCCTCTTATAAAAGAATCACGCAAACACCTAGTATATGAGAAGAATACGCAATTGCATTAACAAATACCCAAAATAGAAATATAAATTAGTTTATTCAAATTGTAATCACACTTGGTACTAGTTGTTTAATGCATGAGTGATCATGTTATACATGTATCACAGATCGGGGTTGGCTGTGGCAAGATATTTCGCTGTCTGGTGATGTGCTGCAACTACTAGTAGTCACCTCGGAAGCGATAGAAATGTTGTCCAAGTCTTCAAGAAGCTTCTTGTTGGTGATTTTTATAGCAATAGCGATGATACCGATAACTCCAGCAATTGATAGCATTGCTATTACGATGACGGGGACGGCGTTTGTTTTGGATAAATTTTCCGAGATTTTGGTTTCTTCTTTTACTGAAAAAAAAAGGAATTCTTTCAGAAAAAATGATCAGTAAGGATCACTTTCGTTGATTTAATGACAACAAACTCGTTTTTTACTGACACAGAAAAGCTGCGTTCTTCAGATAAACTTTCCTTCATTCCGCGTAATGCATAATTTATTACGAATAACTCAACATAATATAAATAAATCCTCATGATTCATTGCGATGTTAAAACAATTGGAGTGTGACGACGTCGAAACTTTCTCGCCTGCTAAGTAAGCCAGTCACGAATTTTCTCGATTATACAGGATGTTCCGTCTAAACCCCACATTAGAAGTATTGGGAGTTGGAATAATCGTATTTATTTGAAAATTGGTACATAGCCTTAAACCATTAAGTCCTCCTAAATGAAAATATTTTCAAGATGGCGGCACTTCCGCTTATACCGGAAGCCGGTCTCAACTTTCTTATTTCAAATGGAAAGGTATATTTTTTACTGCGTTTTTGGATTAATTGGGTTATTTTAAGGGAGTTTTGATCAGCTTTCCCTATACCTAAATTTAGCCGTTTTTGAAATATTTGGAGTTTTTCAAAAATTTTTGGATCTGCACCTCACACTTTAAAAATCGGTAACTCTGTCGTTTTTTAAGATTTTGAATTCGTTTTTTTGGCGTTTGAAAGAGGAAGCCTAGATCCTTTTTCTGGTGTTTTTAAATTTTGAAAAAATGAATAACATATCCCAAAATTTGTAATAATTCAAATACCCATAACTCAATTTTTTCAAATGAAATACCCCAATTTTTATTTTACTAAGAGACATTAATTGTGCATTGATCTATATTAACATTCCCTATACCTAAATTTAATAATTTTCAAGTTATGGACTTTTTGTTACAGACAATTTATTACTAGCCACACCCATTTTCACATAGTTTACTATGGAAATCAAAAATGTCAAAATTTTCTCTAAACAAACGTCAACAGTGACTTATTATTTGACAAATAGTGCCAAAATATTAAGAATCAAAGTTATGCAAACTTAATTAATATTGATAGGTTCTACCATGCGATCATTATTTAAAGCTAACAAGTGAGAAAAATTTATTTTTGTTTAATGAACGACATCATAATTTTGTTACACTCTCCATAAATACAAAATAAATTAATTAAATCTAAGTTTGAGTAGCTTTGACTCTCCATATTTTGGCACTATTTGTCAAATAATAAGTCACTGTCGACGTTTATTGAGAAACAATTTTGACATTTTTGATTTCCATGGCAAACTATACTAAAACGTAATAGATTTTCGACAGACTTACCATAACTTAAAAATTAATAAATTTTGGTATAGGGAATGTTAATACAGATCGATGCAGAATTAAATTCTCTTCAATTTAATAAAATAAAAATAGGGGTATTTCATTTGGAAAAATTGAGTTATGGCTAAGGCTCGGATTATGCAAAATGCATATTTGTTATTAAGAGCTATATCAACAAAATTGTAAGTTTTCTATGCATATCTAATGTTTTTTGATTAAAATAAGCCAAATAAAAAATGCATATTTTGGCAACTTCGAGCATATTTTAGGAAATACTGTATATTTGTGCATATTTTCTTCAAATCATAAATTTTCGATTAAAAATTTCAGTTCAAGTTAAAAATTGGCCAATTTAAGAAAAATGATCCGATTACAAAATATGTTAAAGTGAAAACAACCAGTAATTCGTAAGCCGGACTCAAAGAATTACTATCCTGCTGAGTGTTTCCTTTTTAAATTCATTTTATACAGGGTGAATATGAAGTTTAGAACCAAACGGTTTTTTTTTAATTATTTGCCTCTGGAAAATAATAATTAATATAAAATAAAGTAATATAAAAAATCTGATCGTATTTTCAAAACGAAATTTTGTTTTGCTTTGAGTTATGCGATTTTTTTGTCAAAATTGTAATTTATGTATTTTTTTTAATTAATAAAAAGTAGATAGTCTCTAACCGAGTTGTTTTTGGGAGAGTATACAAAACATTGTTTTTAGTGGGTTGCTATTTAAAAAAAATAAAATTTGTGTAGAACTCAAAAACAAAAACAAAAAATTCGAAAAATTTTATTCTTGATAAAATATTTAATTCATCAATTAGTTTTTAAAAAAATAAATAGTTTAATACTTTAGTGTACTCGAGGATAAAAATTTATTCCAACTTCGATTTTTATTGTTAAAAGTTTTGCATATCGATGCATCTTTGGCATATATTCAAGCATATTTCTTAATATTTTGTGCATATTTTTGTAAAAATACGAGCATATATATGCGCATATTTTACGGATTTTTCGTGCATATAATCCGAGCCTTAGTTATGGCTATTTGGATTATTACAAAAGTAACCTTAAAATTTAAGCGTTTGTTAATTCTTTTTTCAAAATTTGAAAACACCGAAAGAAATATCTAAACTTTCTCTTTCAAACGCCAATAAACGAATTTAAAATTTTAAAAAATAGCAGAGTTACTGATTTTTAAAATGTAAGGTGCAGATCCAAAAATTTTTGAAAAACTCTAAATATTTCAAAAACGGCTAAATTTGGGTATAGGGAAAGCTGATGAAAACTCCCTTAAAATAATCCGATTAATCCAAAAACGCAGTAAAAAATATAGCTTTCCGTTTAAAATAAGAGAGTTGAGACCGACTTCCGGTATAACCGGAAGTGCCGCCATCTTGAAAATATTTTCATTTATGAGAACTTAATGGTTTATGGCCATGTACCAATTTTCAAATAAATACGATTATTCCAAATACAACTCCAAATACATTTAATGTGGGGTTTAGACGGAACAGCCTGTAGTTTGTATACTGGTTTTACTCACCTAGCGCTTCAGGTTTTTGTAGTAATCTACCAGTTCGGAAGTTGCGACCTCTTCTCCCAAGCGTGTTGTCTTCTTCGTATGGCACCGGGGCCATATGTGCCTGGCCACGACCGGAATGTCCCGTTGGTAAATTTATTCCGGCACGTACGGTGAGAGTTTCCGGTTGGTACGAGCACAACACGAGGAATCTCCTCGTGCTGTGGGTCAAAATTGGGAGGTTTTCTTGGACGATAACGAAAGTTGCCACTGTGGTCTCGTTCACTTGGCTGCCGCATTCCGTGTGGTTGATGCGGAGGGTGTAGGTGTCTCGGGGGCTGCTGGCCTCGCCGTCTAGGGCGCACCTCTCCCCGTCTGCCGCCTCCACGGCGATGCGCCCGCCGAAGTACGGACCTGTTGATACTTCGATCTCACTGGCATGAGGAAGGCACTGCGTCGCCTTAGCGGAAACTACAAAATGAGATTTTTTATCACCCATTACAAGAATGTATTTTTTTCAAAGCTAAAAGTTGTTGTACGAAACTGTTCTTATTAGTTATTTTGTTATGTAAAATAAAAGTAACACTTATACAGGGTGTGTCAGAACTCGCGACCAAAAGAAAAATTTGAAGTAAGTTAAGATACCAGAAACATGGAAAAAATTAGACATTTATTTTTTGATATTTGACATTTTTATACCTTACTAAAACATGATAGCTCCAACGCTCTCATCCCGTGTAAAAATTAATTTAACCATTTCTCTCGCACATTAGTAATTGTTTTTTTCGTTGGAAAATTGAAAGCACTAAAAGCAGAAAACGGCAAAAGTGGAGATTGAGTGAAAGTAAAAAAACAAAAATTCAATCATAATTCAACAAACTAGTAGAGTTTTATAGACAAAAAGAAAGGCCTAAAAGTAGGTTTAAAAAAACCTTGACCAAGAGTGCGTTGAATTTCAATCATTTAATGTGACATTTCGCGTCAATGTGGCTCACACTCTCAAAATCAATTAATGTATTTTATAAAAATAATTTCTTCAGTCTCAATTTTAGGATTAAATAAAGCAATTTGTAATATTTTGAATCGATTTGGCTCAATTTTAAGCAGAAAATCAATCTGAATCAAAGTATTTCCACAAACTAATGGTTTGAATTAGAGTTTTCATCAAAAATAAAGCAATTTGAGCTATTTTTAATTTAATTTCGCGATTTTAATACAGAAATTAATTCAAAATTAATGTATTTTATAAAAATAATTGCTTCAATCTCAATTTTAGACTGAAATAAAACAATTTGTGATATTTTCAATCAATTTAGCTCAATTTTAAGCCGGGAATCAACCTGAATCAAAGTATTTCAACCAAATACTACCTTGAATAAGGGTTTTCTTTCAGAATAAAGCAATTTTAGGTATTTTCAATTCAATTTTTCTCGATTTTAATGCAGAATTAATTCGATATTTTGTGAATTTTCAATATTATGATATTTTCAATCGTTTTGGCTCAATTTAAAGACGGGAATCAACCTGAATCAAAGTATTTCAACCAAATACTGGCTTGAATAAGAGTTTTTTTCAAAATAAAGCAATTTAAGCAATTTTATTTCTATTTAATGATACTGATGATCTTGTATGTTTTTTTTATAATTATTTAGTAAAGATACAAAAATTTTGCCAGTAGAAGCCACAAATAATATTAAACAGATAGTTTCCTCTTTTAAGAGCCTGTAGTAAAAAAAATGGAAAATTATCTTTTCAATAGAAATAAATAGAGTCAAAATTTAAACTCTCATAACTTAGAAATTTTTAGAGATATTTTTTAACATTTTTTCCATGTTCCTGGTATCTTACCTTACATAGCATTTTTCTGTGAGACGCGAGGTAGTTGCATATGAAGTGCTCGTTTTTTTACTAAAATTTTTAATCAAAATAGTTTTGTTTTAAATACGATTATTTTTTATACCTTACTAAAACGTGATAGCTTGAACGCTCTCACACCCGTGTAAAACGTTAATTTAACCATCTTTGTCATGCGATAGCAATTGTTTTTTCCTGAAAATTGTTGGAAAATTTGGAAACACTAAAAATAGAAAACGGCAAAAGGTGAAGATTGAGTGAAAGTAAAAAACAAAAATTCAATCACAATTCTACAAAGTGGAAGAGTTTCATAGAGAAAAAAGGTCTAAAAGTGCCTAAATTAACGTTTTAAAAAAATTACTAAGAGTGCGTTGGATTTCAATCATTCAGTCTGACACTTCTGACAGTTGTTGACATTTCGCGACAATGTCGCTCACTCTTCAAGAAAATCAAACGAAATTTTTTAGAGTCACATTAAAGCTTTAATCTGCATTTTTTTTGGAACCCACTAAGAAAAAAATTGACGAAAAAGCCCCTTATCTAACATTAATTTTTCGTCGTTAATTGGAAAAATTATTTTAAATTAATTATTTTTGAGTTTTTTCAAAGCAAATTCGAATTATATTAAAACAGTTTTTTATGAATAATCGGTGAGGTTTTTGCAAAATCTTGGATTTGATTGGTTGGACACATCTGTTAATTCCGATTACAAGGGCCAATAATAATCATTTCCCATTCACGTAATTACCACTAAGGTGAGAACAAACCGGTTTTTATTTCTTATTGGCCAAAATCCGACAAAAACCTAGCAACGATAAGTAACTCCACCCATTTAAAAAATCGTGAATACTTATTGAATTCTGAATCGATTTTTATAACAAATCAGCGTTTAGTGTGAGTTATCTTACTTTAATTGGATCTAATTTTGCACAATGGGTGGAGCTAACCCTAGAGCCAATATGAATCATGCACTTTCGATTATTAGACCAATAAAAAGTAAAAAATTATTTAATAGGTTAAAGTTGAGTGTCATTGTTCGATCGTTAGCCAAACAATTACGTCTTTTAAAATCAACTTATCAGAACACGTCTTAGATTTTTCGACAAGAAAAAGAAAAATAATTAAAAATTTTGTTTTAAAAATCGGCTTCTTCGATTTTAGGTATAGTTAAAATATTATTTGAAGAATAAACGTTAATTAATTTTCTTTACTGTCAAATGTCCAAACTGTCAAATTTTGACATTTTTCTTAGATTTACATAACACTGTGAATTAAGTTCATTTATTGTGTACTAAAATTTGTATTTTGCTCTATCTTTGATTCAAAAATACCGATCGAGTCGCTTTTAGCGGTTTTAGCTTTTATTTGGCAAATCTTTCAAAAAAAAAATATAAATCTTCGAAAAAAAATTTCAAAAGTTCATATAAGTGCACACAATTCCACAGATTGGTTCTTTATATACAATCAGTGTAAAATTTAGATCAATTTGAACCACATCAGGGCCGTAATGAACAATTTTGTGATTCAAAATAATCCAAAAACCAGCAAAAATGGCAAGCTTTTTGGCTTAATTCTGTAATTTTTCGGCTTGTTTAAATACTAAAATCCTTCTTTCAACAATTTTTAAAATATTGACGTCTTGCATTAACCAATATAATTTTTGACTTTTCTTATTATTTTTTCGTTTTATAATTACCTTCGTGATAATAGGTGTGAGATTGCTAATTAATTTAGTTATTTACCTCTAGCGTAGGACAGAATGACGAGGGCAATTTGTATGATTAATATAATCACATCTTTAAGGTAACTGTTCACCAAGTCTCCAAGGAACAATAAGAAAAAGTTTCAATTATTCTGACCTAATGTTGAAGAACAGTTGAAGACGTATATTATTATCGTCCATGCAGATAATAGCTGCATAAAACCATTCTAAAACGTTATTTTGCAGCATCTGATGATGCTGTTCTGTGAAAGTCACATGCTTTATTCTAAAATCCCAAAAAGGGATTAAAAAACTTAACACAAACAAACTTATTGAAATTTAAATTTATTTGGTGTAATGGAATGTAACTCAACTTCAAGTTAACCTAAAGACACATTGATTAAATCATATGCGTGACTGTGGATAAATGTACCCAGTCAAAGCTTTGCAATTCTAATCGCGCATAATATAATCAGTTAACAGCATGAGTAAAGCAACTGGGTTAATCCTTCAGCTAATAGACGTGTGAATTTTACAAAAAATTACTGTTATAGAAAAAATTACTTCAAAATTTACAATTTTTGCTAATAAATTCTCCTTCAGTAGCTAGCTAATAAGCACATAATGCTAGTGTGCTGATTTATGAGCTGTATTTTTAATTATTGTTCTTTTTTGTGAAGACAGTTTAGGTTTTACGACTATTACAGATTTGTCAACAAGAAATTACCAGCTAGGATTTAAATTTTTAGGAAAATTACGTTTTTCATGTTTTTTGAGAATTTTTCTAATTTTTTTTGATAATAAATGAGTCCGTAACAGTTTTGTGTGTTTTATGAATACTTTTTGTTAATTTACCTATAAAGTTTTTACACTAAATGGAAAATTGCGTTTAATTCAAAATCTAATTGGTATTTTTTTTATCTGATTTTGTAAACAATTGTAGGAAGTGAATCTGCGTAGGTCAGTATAAAAATTAGAATTAAACTTTTTGGGAGAAAATTACTTTTTATTTTTTTTGGCTTTGTTTGTAAATGAAAAATTACCAAAAAATTAGAGAATGTACCTTACTAATGCCCAAGTAAGTGTGAAAAAATTCAACAATTTTATTTAATTAGAAGTGGGTATTTTTTTCTGCGCCTAACCGATGCCCCACCCTGTACAAGAAGCTGACAGGTGACTTAACCTAAACTTGTGTTTGTCACTACAAACCAACCAAATTTATGGCAACCTATCCATGAATATCCCTAAATCCTAGGGAGTAATTTCTTGATACGATAATACGTACATCCTTTGGTGGGTATCACAATGGTATTTTCGTCTTTGTCATCGCCTTCGGCCCTATCCTCCCTCTCCTTGGCCCTTTTGACCTCAAACGAGTACGTGGTGGCCATCCTAAGCCCTTTGACTTCGACACTATAGCCCTTCGCCTGCTCGTCCACTTCATTCTCTTCAGATTCATTCACCATTTGAGTCCGACATCTGTGTGCACCCCACGTCTGGAGTTCACAATACCGGACTTGAAATTCGCTTTGTGAATCATCATCAACTTCCCAGTGCAGCCGGACTTGTCTATAATCCGGTTCACCGGCGAGGTTTTTGATGCCTGGAAAAAATAATTCGATTTTGTTAGTTGAACTAATGCATTTGTCACGGTGTAAAAGTGAATAAGGTAACCTGGTTAGGATAAGTTGTGGTAATTGTTTTTGCGCAGTCCTACCGTTAGTGAAACGTTAATTAAGGTTGCATCAATCATATGGTGTGAGGACAAGTGCTAGTGACAATTAAGCGAAATAAAATCACCGTTGGAGTGTTAGGACGATTGGAGGGATATGTAACGCTTATCAGCTTTCATTATAACGGATAATACACATAAGATAATGGTCCTTTTTTCATGCTCTCCCGTTAGCAATGTTAGAAACAGTTATTAGTCGCGTTGTAGGTTTTGTATAACAATCTCATTTGTCCGACGGTGGCCTTCCACAAGAATGTACAATGGTTCAGTGATTTCATTTTGCCCATTGTTTAAATAATTAATTTATAAATTCGGAAAAGATGAGAAAGATTAGGATTATTATTACGAGAAAGTCGTTACTTCGTTTCATTTCTTTACACTACCTATTGTTCATTTCAAATAACTCACAATTATTTTCACTTAACGAACGCTAATTTCAATTTCTCAATATCATGAACTACGTGAACTATAATAATTTAAAGTCTGAAAATCAACCACAAATCATTCTACATCGATTCTTCACCGATTCTTCAACAATTGTTGATCATGTTTATCAAATTTAATTGACACAAAAATGAAAAGCTTTTCAATACGTTGAAGAAGATGTAAAGTTTCAATTGTCACTCCATCAATAAAAATTGTCTCCACAATTTGTTGAATTAAAAGTTAAATACTATCACGTAATTACTGAAATGAATTAAAAGATTTGATTTATTTTTGTATACGTTAGAACTTAATAAAGTGATGTTTCAATTTAATAGGTAATATAATAATTAGATAATATGTTAAAAAATTAAATATGTATAATTAGATTCGATTATTTTTAATGTTCAATTAATTTTAATCTTTTCTTTATATCTATTACAAAAAACGGACATATTTTTATGATAAATAGAAACACATTTTTTCTCGAAGCAATGGAAAATAGCAAATAAAGTAGCATTTTTTAACATTTTAATTAATCAAACCAAAAATCCCGTTTTTTGGCATCGCCGGTAATTTAATTTTTTCCGCCATTTTTAATTACCTCATTTGATCGCTTTAATTCACAACATTATAAAATTCCGCCAGTCTAAAGAATAAAGTTTTCTCTTTAGCGGAAGTTAAAACAATTGTTTTTAACAGATTGTAATTCAATTAAATCCTGTTGGCTTTATTTTGTGCGAATTTAGAAGTTTCATTTCATGCATTTATACACACTTTTTCTAATTTTACAACAAGAGGGTTATACAGAGTGTTAAAAAAGTCCATTAGTGACCTTTTAATGGTAAAATTCTTCTAGTGCATCACTTAAAATTATTTTCAACCATACAGCATGTCCCAAAAATAAGTTATGATACAAACTTGTGTTTTTTTAAATGAAACAGCGTATGTTTCTTGGCATTTTTGGATGTAGTCTTTTAAAACAATGTTTTTACGCTAAACTTTTATTAGTCGATTTTGCTTAGTTTTAGAAGTAAGACGTCTTTTTTGAGGAAAACATGCACTTTTTAAAAATTTATTACACAAAAACTAAGACAGCTAGAACAATTTTTTTTACCTCTGCAAAGAAGAAAGTACAGAATTTAAAGCTGTAGCAAATTTTTAGTGTTTTGCATTTGTAAATGTTAATAAATCAGAGAGTTTGTTAAAAGTTAAATAACTTAAAACATTTAAATGTTAACCCTATTTTTTATTTTTGCACTTTTTGGTTACTGAAACAATAGTATTTTTTTTAATGTTTAACGTTAAATACCTTTTTAGTTATTGATTATAAACACTTAAAAGTAAATAATTTTAGAAAGACAATTTAATAATCTTTTAAATGCAAAAACAATAAATAGGGTGTTAAGTTATTGAACTTTTAACGCCTTCATTTTTTATCTTTACAAATGCAATACACTAAAGAAATGTTACAACCTTATAGCTTGTACCTTCTTCTTTGCGGTAGTAAAAAAAATATTTCATATGTCTTAGTTTTTGTGTAATAAATTTTTAAAAAGTGCATGTTTTCGTCAAAAAAACCGTCTTATTTTTAAAACTAAGCAAAATCGACCAATAAAAGTTTAGCTTAAAACATTGTCATAAAAACATATAGTGTTTCATTTAAAAAAACACAACTTTGTATTGTAACTTATTTTTGAGACACGCTGTATAGTTTAAAATAATTTTAAGCGATAGACTAGATTAGTATCTATCTATGTCCTATATATATATTTTTTAATTTCACAATTTAAAGGTCACTAATGGACTTTTTCAACTTGCTGGGACACCATGTATAATGTTGCGTTACTGCTTTTTTTACGCTTTCATAAAGTAATTTTTTTCTTATACAATAAGACTTTCCTTTATTTCAACGCATCTGTTTAAATAGTTTTCAGAAGCTGATGTATTTTTATCCAACAATTTGAAATTATGAAGTTAATTTTGGTTTGATAAAATTATTTTGGCTACACTAAGAAATTAGTTATTCTCAGTGAATGATCGCAGACTAAATAAACATTCTTGTGAAATATTAAAGAAAATTAGTTTATTGTCATTCAACTACATTTAATTAATAAATACTAGACACAAAATAATTAAAAAACTTAAAGCTCTTCTAGCATTAATTACTATCCAAGCCGGAATTTAACTATCAACACCTACTTATCTATAAATGTGAAATGGCCACCTATTTCTTATCTGGGCATGACATTTGAAAAATTGTCTTTAATTATTATAAACTACTTTCTTATTCCATTTAAGTTGTAGTATTATGAACAGAAAGTTTTAATTGTGTTCCCTTAAATACACCCAAGTAAAGTGTGTTAAGCACCAGTCTGTCCAAAAAAACTTTCATTTTGATTGTTGCAAAATAGATGAACCAAAAGTTTTAGCGAGCTTTAAGCTCGATATTTTCTCCTGGCATGATTTAAAATAAAAAGTAATTAAAAAATAAAATACGCAATGATGACATGTTGTGACTTACCGGAAGAATCTGCAGTCACTGTGCTCAAAACAGCAGCGGCGATGAAAATAACAAACATTTCACAACACAGATAATTCACCAAAATAAAAAAAAAGTAGAAATAGGCCAGTTTGTTTGCGAGTAACGTCTAAAACATTTTGAGTGAGATCAGTGATGGAAGAGGCGTTGAAATATGATCAAAGCGCGTAATCGAGACAAGTTGTTCGTAATGAAATTACTTCATGTATGATACGTGGGACCGGCTTGGTGCTCGCGAGCGGATTAACAGTCTGTATGCCGACTTCGGTTTCGCTGGAGACGACCACTGTTTCGCCAAGGAGGGGTCACTGCTCTTCCCCACAGTATTTTACGTCACTCTGTTGTTGGTTTGGTGCATTGAATTTGTAGATTTGCGCAAAAGAAACATCGAAAATGCATTATTTTCAACGGGGAAGCACTAGAGGTGGCCGCTGTGTGAGTCTTGGAAATTGCATTTCATGCTCGGCCAAGGTATTACGCAATTATGTATTGCAAGAACCAGTCCGCTACTGGAAACCGTGAAATCGGTTGGAGAATCATTGGAATAAATTGCTTTTGAATAACGAGCTGCTTTCTTTGACTCGTAATCGATGAGGTTTTGATTCGTTTTATAATAGAATCAATTAATTGTAATTGGACTGAATAAATAAACAATAAATTCCTATAACATTAAGTTTACTAAAAGTATTACAAAAACAGAAATATATGTTTCGTGAAAAATATTTTCAGGGTCAATTCAGTCTCAGTTGTGTGTTTAAAACACATAAAAACGGTTGTTTACTTTTAAAATGTTTTAAAACAATGTTAGAATCTTTACATTCTAATCAGTGGACTCATTATAACAATGTATTTTAAAAACTTTTCGCAAAAAAATCTGCTTTCTACTACTACTTGTTTAACCATTTAATAAGATGATAAAAAATAGTACATTTTTAGAAAAAAAAACGATTTAAATCAGGAGTGTCATTTAATTACTATCAAAAAAATATAGGATTTGTGTGGGAAAAATTCTATTGTTTTATTATTATTTTTACAAGTTTGAACCTTATTAGGAAACCGTTTTTTACAAAATCTGGAATTAGTAGAATCCATTGTAACCATCTGGTAAGTGGTTAAGTGAAAATGCCATTCCAATTCGTACTAGTTTTTCTGGTACAGTTCAAGCTGTAGTGCAAATAAGATAATTAAAAAACTTGTTTATTTGAAAATGAAATTTTATAAGTTAGTTTTAACAGTTTCTTGGAAGATTGTCTCATAATATATAACGGTTGGTCTGCTTTTCATTCTAATTGATAATAGCGAAGTCCTATAAAAACTGGCCTTAGAAAAAAAAAAGGAAAAAAACACCAAAATTTGGTTTAAATTATCTATTTAATTTGCGCAAACTGGAAGGTTATACCGGGTACCGAGCTATTTTTAGTTTTTTTTTCAAAAAAAATCATATCATAAAAACTATGCATCGCAGAGTATTTTAACTCGTCGCATCGTGTTCAGCGTGTAATTATACGTCTAGAAAACCATATTTTAAGCGTTTTTACAACTCAAGGTACGAGTACTTTGACTATTTTTAAGATTTTACTACCGTTCACCTTCAAAAACTCAAAAAATTCGAAATTTTTTAAACTTGGCTCAATAACGTTTTATGCCCTTTTTTGAGTCTTTAAGGCCTTTAGAAATCTAAAAAATATTATATGAAAGAATTTTAAGGTTGAAATTTTTTTTGATTTTTGTCGAGATTTTGCTCGATTTTTGGCACCCGGAGCGGTCTATTACCAATAACTCCGGACTTATTGGCAATAACCTCTTATGTTTGGTACCTTGGAAATAATACTTAATTTTCTATCATATACAAAAAAGATCAGTGTTCTACGATAAATAGTTTTCGAGAAAATTTCTGATAAAATAAAAAAAAATTCAAAAATATTAATTCGACTATAACTTCAAAACCATTACGAATCTTGCAGTTTTCTTCACGCCAATCGATTCCCCGGAACATAGGTTTACGTCAAAATATTATATCATTGAGATACAGTTTTGCAGCAATTTACGAAATAAAAAAAGGAAAATTTTGTTTACACTCCCCCCTTAAAAACTTGTGTCTCAGATTCTTATTGATTATTCTTTTTGCACTAAGTAAAATAGTTTGGCCATAATCGTTGTCAAACAGTAAAAATTTTCAGAATTTTGTTTTTTTTTACTTTAAATTCTTGGAAACAATAAGTATTAGAGCAAAAAACAAAAAACTCCAAAATTCCCTTTAATTTTCTATTTAATGACGAAAACTCGTTATAAAATTATAAATCCGGGTAAGGAGCCATTTTTACTTTTTTTTAATTCATGTCTAAAAAACTATGCATCGTAGAGTATTTTAACCTGATGCATCGTGTTAACACCAACATTACAAATTAATTGCAATTTAGTTCCAATGGGCACAAAGCCTCAATTTTTTATTGTAAACATAACATATTTAAAAGCAATTCCCATAGTTGTTAATAAAATGTCAGTAACGGTTCCTTTGTTACAAGATATCAGATAAAATATACTCTAACTGTACGTAATTTTAGTGCTTTCCTAAATCACAATAATATAATCGAGAAATTACTGACAAATACATGCTGTGCTTTTACAATTTGTTATTAAATTAACTGAAAGCGTGGATCTTGATATTGCAACTATCCAAGAAACGCTCAATGGAATTTAAGCTTCTGTGAATTATAATTAGACGGTGATGGAATTACTACAACATAATTTGAATATTATTGTGAATTTTATGTAATGATGAGAAGGAGACGCCCTACATCTTTTAATTGGTTTTAAAATTTATTGAAAGGATGAAGTGAACTGTACTAATCGCCCACGGATTCACTCAACTGGGTTAACAGTTTGTTTCCGAACAAAGAAGTTTTATTAAATAATTTTCTCTATTTTGTTGAAGATGCGAATAACGGCTGCTATTAATTTCACCGCTTTTTATTCGTTTTCTGGGTGAACCACGCCTGGTCTACTTAAAGTTTTTTAGGCAAATAGAAACACCATTTACCATAATGTTTTATTTTTAAATAAAAACCAAGACAACAATATAAACTATATACAAAATAATAATTTATTATACAACTCGGCTATAACTCACTTTTTACATAATAATGTAATTAGATGATAAAAACACATACAATGACAAATAAGTAAAAGACCCTTCGTTAATATCACTAATGTCTTCAAAAAGACTCCCAATTCGAAAAAATTGAATTTTGCGTTACAAATAAAACGGATTTTGGGCTAGTTGGTCCCATACCCTCTCAATCTAAAATGCAACAAAAAGAGTCGATGCTTTAAGCTTCTAGACTAAAGCTGAACATGATACAAAATTCCATTGTACGAAGCACGTTAACTAGGGGTACAAAATAAATTTGGACGCAATTTGAATGAGGATTGTTTTATGTTTGATCGTACTTTTGATTTATCCATTTCGGTTATTTAGAGATTTCATTTTATCACCGTTTTTATTAAGAAAAAGAAATCATTTTTTACGACCTAGATTAGCGTAGATTTTTATAATTGAGTTTAAGTCAGTGTTTATTGAGGTTTTTAAACGTTGATTGGCATCTACAAAAATCTCTAAATAACGGATGCATACACGACTGTTAAATCTACAGTGATACAAATTCACATTGCGAAATGGGTTATTATCTGCTCTATTTATGGTCAGTGGTATGAGCGGTCGATGGTAGGTCGCTATAAATGGCGCTGGGGCCCTCGTTGCTGCAAACCGAATCTTCCGGAGTCCTGGACGGTTCCGCCTCTGTCGTTTCCTCCTGCTTCTGCACGCGGTGTTTTCCATGCAAATTCTGCGCAATCACACAAACTATTAATAAAATTTACGCTTCCAGATAGAAATAAGTGTGTAGCATCGGCAGGATAACCTTCACATAAATATAAATTAACAATAAATAACATAATATTAATTTATCGACTCTTTTGCCGTTTCATGCGTTAATAGATTGAGTTCAAAACAAACATTATGCTTCATTTCTAGCTTTACGACTTTTCGATAAATTTAACTGTAAACTGCTCTAAACTGTACCATTAAAATGCAATAACAGGTATTAAAGGCTAATATTTTAGAAGATAACTCATTAAACACACTTACCTTAGTATTAAAAAGCAAAAGACTTGCTACAAGGCCAATTAAACATTTAAACTTCCCTGTTTTATAGTGGGTACACCTTTCAAAACTTATTTTTTGCCCAATCTAAAGAAAACAGCAAATTAAACCGTTTCTGTGTCCCAGCGAGTTGAAAAAGTCCATTAGTGACCTTTAAATGGTAAAATTTAAAAAAATTTGTATAGGACATTGATAGATACTTATCTAGTGCATTACCTAAAATTATTTTCAACCCAAAAATAAGTTACGACACAAACTTGTGTTTTTTAAATGAAACACCGTATGTTTCTTGGCATTTTTGGATGTAGCCTTTAAAACAATGTTTTTATGCTAAACTTTTATTAGTCATGCACTTTTTAAAAATTTATTACACAAAAACTAAGGCAGCTAGAACAAATTTTTTCTTACTTCTGAAAAGAAGAAAGTACAGAACCTAAAGCTGTAGCAATTTTTTAGTGTTTTGCATTTCTAAAGATTAATAAATTAAGAAGTTTCTTAAAAGTTAAATAACTTAAAAAAATTAAAGGGAACACTCTATTTTTTATTTTTGCATGTAATAGATTTATAAATTGTCTATCTAAAAAAAAACTCTTAATGTCTAAAATTGATAAATGAAAAGGTATTTAACATTCAATATTAATTGTAGCAACAATGCCTATCAATATCTGGGCATTGGTGATACTATGAAAACCATAGTAAGTAATTTCACTACGGATCACTTATCCGTTGATTTATCCAGAGATTGTAAAAGTCGTTATAAATACTGAAATTCGAATTATTTTATTGTAAAAATAAAGTATAATGGATTCAGTTTAACACAAATGTGATTATTAAGTGATATTTCTTCCATCTCTTGTGCAACTGTGCACTTTTTGGCGACTGAAACAATAGTAATTATTCTTTTTTTAATGTTTAAGGTTAAATATCTTTTTAGTTGATTATAAACACCTCAAAGTAAATAATTTTAGAAAGACAATTTAATAATCTTTTAAATGCAAAAACAATAAATAGGGTATTCCATTAAAATTTTTTAAGTTATTAAACTTTTAACAAACACCTTCGTTTTTTTATCTTTGCAAATGCAACACACTAAAATAAATGTTACAACGTTATAGCTTGTACCTTCTTCTTTGCGTTAGTAAAAAAAATATTTCTAGATGTCTTAGTTTTTGTGTAATAAATTTTTAAAAAGTGCATGTTTCCGTCAAAAAAACCGTCTTATTTTTAAAAGTAAGCAAAATCGACCAAAAAAAGTTTGCCTTAAAAACATTGTCATAAAAATCTACAGCCAAAAACGCTAAGAAACATATGGTGTTTCATTTAAAAAAATCTGGTGTAAACATCACACGACTTTCCTTATCCTACTTATTGGGAAAACATCCTTACGGTGTTGGAAATCCGAGTAGCAAACCTAACGTTTGCATTAGTGCCAGATTACACGCGAAATAGTTCGCGGGTTCGAGTCTGAGGTGCAATTTTTTAGTTCATTATTATTTTTATTTTATCACATTTTAGTGTTTAATAAGGTATATTTCATGATTCCCATGAATTTATTGTGTCTTCAACCGTATAATTTTGGGGCGGATTTTTGGTCTTTGCGACCAAACGGCGCGACCGATTTTTACCAATTGTTTCGTGCTGCGTCCCCTTCCTACAAGTAACTTACATACCAAATTTCAAGATTCAAGAATTTTAGGCGATGGACTAAATTAGTATCGATCAGTGTCCTATATAATTTTTTTTATTTAACCATTTAAAGGTCAAAGGGACTTTTTCAACTCGGTGGTATACTCTGTATACAATTAAATTTTTCGTATTTAAGTAACTAAATTTTTTTTTAAATCTTTGAAAGACCATTTGCAAATTTTTGTAAGTAATAATTTTTTTATTTCTCAAAGTTTTCGTTGAGATAATTAAATATCTGGTGTACAGCCAACAAAATGTTCTTTTTTTCAACAAAACTTTGGCTGTAAATTGATATTTTCGCCAATTTTTTTGTAGATCAAAATTTGAATGAAAAAATCATATCATGTTATTCATTGCTAAGACTGCAAAAATTGGGCCTGCCGAGGGCCGAGTTGTCTTTACACACAGTGAACTCGGTTATGGTAGGCGACGATTACCATCTTCGGTCGTGCGTTTAGTTTGAACACCAGACCGCCCTGGTAGGTTAACGTGACTTACCTTTTCTCTGCTTCCTTTTTTCTGCATGCAAATTAAACATAGATTGTGTTAGATAACAGTTTTTATATTCCCCAATAAAATACAAAAATTACAACAGCTGTATCTTGTAATTACATGAATAGTACCTGCAAGCTGAACCTGCGATGTTGGGCCTTCCTCCCTCCGCGACGTTTCGATATGTGTGGATTATCTCTGCAAATCGTTTTGCTCTTGAAAAGCTCCAATTGCAGGTAGAGTCTTTTGAGTTCGGCCCTGATGTCGTCGGGGCTCATGTCGGCCAAAGTGACCTCACCCACGTCCACATCGCTATTGTTGCCCGTTAGTGGACCGTGTGCGTTAACATCCTGTGAAACAGGTAGCCGCAGAATTAAACTTCACCGTGACTAATGGAAAAAATTGCTCGCAACTAGGACAGTCAGATGTCACGACTAACTTGGCCAAGTTGCAAGAAAAGGGACGATAACAAAATTAAAGCGAATCGAATGACATGATGTTACATTAAACACTGCGACAATCAATATTTTATTGGTAGGGAACGCCATACTACACCATTTAAATTCAACAGTTTATGGGTCGTGGACCAATCGACATTGATTGAAGTTTGCGTAATATGATCCGAAAAATAAAACTGATTTTGCAGTAAAAAAATGCTTGAAAATTTTTCTTCTTCTAGATGAATTTATTTTATTGTTGTGTGGTGTTTGAACATTCTCAGCGGTGTAAGTTGTGGGAATGTTCAGACACATAGTGATTTGGCATTTAAGACATATAATCACTATATGTTTTTATTCCAGTTTGAAGCTATTAAGTCCAAACATTCCCATCATTAGACATAACAAAACATTCGATAGTTATTTTCCCTCTTAATCATTTAAGATAATTTTTTATTTGTCACAGTTTAAATTAACAAATATTTATTGCAGATTTGCATGTAAAAGTACTTTTTTCCATTTCATGTAACTGTACTCACTACAATTAAATGCAATCAAATTATAGTAAATACATAAATTGTATTAATATTTCACAAAAATTAATAACGGTTTTATAGAAATGAACATTTTCAAATGAATAAAATTCGCTTCAAATTTTACATTTCAAACATTAAAAAACCTCCAGGAAAGTGAGTATTTTATATTACACAGGGCGACAAAAAAAAGTCATGTTGTGACAACTTGACAAATTATACAGGATGTTCCAATGAAAACGAGCCACCCCGAATATCTCAGAAACTAAAAAGATTTTGCAAAAACGGCGAAACAGGTCGATTTTGTTTTTAAGGGTGCATTTTTTGACGTAACCCCCTAACCCCCACGCACCCCAACTTTAAAAATTTAATTGGACTATCCCACTTGTGGCACATCAAATGAAAGCTATTTTAGTTTTCAAAACTTTTTACCTAAATTGAATCAGACCATCCATTCATGAGATACAGGGGTGTTCTAATAAAAACGATCCAAAAAGAATTTGCAAAAAAAAACAAAACAGGTTAATTTTGTTTTTAAGAAAGACATTTTTTGACACAATTTTAAAAGCACCTCCTTTCACTTTTCCCACCTCAATTTCCAAATTTCAAATGACACCGACTCACTTGCGACAGATCAAATAAAGGTGTTTTTAAAATGTTTTTTGAACCTCTTTTCTAAAGTTGAATGGGATTATGTTTACATAAGATATTCGCAAAAAATAATGTTTCTAATTAGTGATTACTTCTAATAAAAACTAATAAAATAAATTACAAGAAACATACTAATATTGTTACAAGTATTATTGAAGCTGTAACAAACTTATTTTTATTTCTTTATTTTATTGTCAAAATAATCAGACTAAAGGACAGGGGGTAATAACGTTTCTTATAATTTAATGTAATTATCTAAAAAACAGCAATATAGTTCTTAAGTTCCTTTGTACATACTGACTGCTGAAAGATTAGTTTTTTGCCGTTACTTTATGAATGTATAAAAATTATTTCATTTTAAAAAGCTTTTAAAGAGCATTTTAAAAGTGTTTTCATTTTTTGTATCACTAGTGGTTGGTGCTATTTGACATTTTAGAGTTAAGTGGCATAGAGGTTAAAAGGTTAGTGAAGGTGCTTTTAAAATTGCGTCAAAAAATGTCCCTTTTAAAAACAAAATTAACCTGTTTTGGGTTTTTTTTTGCAAATTTTTTCTAAGATGGTTCGTTTCTATTAGAATACCCTGTATCTCATGAATGGATGATCTGATTCAATTTTAGTAAAAAGTTTTGAAAACCTTGCTAAAATAGCTTTCATTTGATGTGCCACAAGTAGGGTAGTGCCATTTAAATTTTTAAAGTTGGAGTGCGTGGTGGTTAAGAGGTTACTGAGGGTGCTTTAAAAATTACGTCAAAAAATGTGGCTCGTTTTCATTGAAACACCCTGTATATCATTTTGTTCGTCTGTCTCTAATTTAAATGAGTTTGAAATACTTTAACTTTAAAAAATCATTACCTTTTCCTTCAAATAAAGACTCAAAAGTGATGAGGATGAGAAAGCATTTGCTGAGAACATTAAAAAAAAAGTTCAGAAAGCTAAAACAAAGTGAACAAACCGGAATCTGAATGGAAAGTGATTTGATTTGAAAAAAATTGCCCTAAAATTGAAGCTAATGCCTTAAACTTCCAGATCCTCTTTGTTCAGTGATCAGTGGTCATTTTTAGAAGAAAAAATTCTTTGTTTGCTTTAATTAGAACGCAAGTACTCTTTGTTTGTTTTAAGTAAACAAACAGTTTTTGTTTATTCTAATTAGAACAAAGAAGGTGCAATTGACCATTTTTAAGCAAAAGAAGAGTCTTAAAACATACTTTTATAAAAATGCAATTTTAAGTAAGATTAACATGTTTTTCTTCTGTATGGCGCAATGCTTGATTAGCAAACCTTAACTTCAAAAAATCATATCTTAAAAACTACTCGGTATATTATTTTAAAAATTTGGATTCTAACTAATAAAAAGATGCTCTACACGATGGTGATGAAGAAAAAAAAATACTCGTAGGGTTTTTGTTAAATTACATCGATTTACTTCGAACTTCTTCGAACACTGTTTGAAGAAAAGTTCACCAATATTAAATTTTAAATTGCGTATCATTCTAAAGGGCAAATCCATCCCTTTATAATGGATTTTATTTGAAAAAAAAAATTTAATTAGAAAAAAATCATTTAGTGTGTGGACGTTTTGAAATGTTTTTAGTGCATTTGATTTGTCTCACTGAGACGAACAAAATGATATATTTGTCAAGTTGTCACAACATGACTTTTTTGTCGCCCTGTGTGATTATATCAAATTATTTGCAATGATGTATTTGTTTTCACCGAATTTCATTAATTGACGGGTTTTTGAATAGTTTTCGCAGTGTTTTTCAACTTAACAATCTGCACATCTTACCTTGAAAGCATCTACTGGTATCCTGCACGAATATTCTTGCGCAAGTGACCTCACTTGCTTTTGCTGGTACCAAAATTTCGGGATGAATACCAACATCAACGTCATACTTGTCGACAACTGTGTTCGTAAGCAATAAATGATTAAAACGAAGTCCGGATGAAGTCCGGGAAGTAACAAGATACGTCCTATATAAAAAAGGGTGCTCACTGCCAACTCGATGCTGATTGCGGCACACAGGAAACTTCGCTCCTATCAAAAACATATTACTTTAGCTATTTCATTTACAATCCATAGGGAACATAAGTCAATATATTTTCACTGAAATTTCAACGACTAAATAATACGATTTTGTGCAGTAAATTACGCATGAAGGAGAAATTTCCCCCTTTGACATTCTGAGTGAGAGATCTAAAGGTTATATATCATAAAATCTACGAAACTGTTGAAATTCGCTCTGTAAAAAGAGAATTCTGCAACAGTTTTTATTTGGAAGCGTTTTCTTTTTTAGTGTTTCAAAAGTTTACGCTAGGACAACCTATAGATTTTGTTCAAATTTCATATAGTAATTAAATTTTGTGTCAATCATGTGCCACCACGCATATAATTATTTTCAAATTACTAAACCGTACATTTACTTCAAACTTTTACGTTTTAAACCAAAATCAAACATCAACTTTATTCTATAAATGCAAAAGAAATCTCTTTTGGTTAATTAAATTAATTTAAAACTGCTATGTGATATGTCGGAATCATCACATAGACGTCGCCGTTACCATTAGTAGGCAACTGGATGATTTATTTGGTGAAAATATTGTGCTCACACAACAAGGAAGTACACATTTACTGTTACTAGAGCGTGTAATTATGTAATTCGTTTTTTCAGAACTAAATTCACGGTCAAAGAATATACCTCTTTCGCAAAAAATATACTACATCTCCAGGGATCGTAAACGGCTTTCTTACAGATTTTTTATAGTTTGTCTTAATTAAAACTTTTATAATTAGTAAAATTTTGGACGCTTTTGGAGCTTAGTTTAAATTTCAAGTTAATTAGAAAATATTTCCGTATAAGAGTAATTTTTCGTTAATTACGTGCGTGTGGTTCATGTTTCTTGTTTTTCAAAATAAAAAAATTGCAACTGCAATCCATATTTTTACGATATGGTGGCTAATTCCAACCCACGTTTCCATATTCCATTGTTTGCGTTCATGAATATACATCTACAATCTATCAATATTAATTTTGTTCCATAAATTTGAATAGGACTGTAGAAACATACTCGATCAATTATTATTAGTGTTTGATGAAGTTATCGACCATCTGATGATTATGTTGACCGATTAACTTGCTAATTTCAATGAGCAAACACATTTCCACAATTCGAACGATAGTGAGTTGTGTTTATAGGCACGTTGACCTGTCACTCCTTTCATTGTCTCAAGCCCAAAATTGGCGAAGGATGCGTATGGCAGTTTAAAGTTTTTCTTATATGAAGACAGTTATTGAATAACCGGAAGTAATGAAGTGATGTAGATGGATGGTCGAGAAGAGAAGGTGATGAATGCTGTGAGGAAGCATAGTCGACAACCTATTGTTCTGTGATAAATTGGCTTTATAGTTGTTATACTACTCATTATAAAGACACCATGTCAGCACTCTTGTCCTTAAATGGTAAGAATTTGTCTTTCTACTCCCCGTATGTGCGACGTGGCTAGATTTCATTTTCATCATAAAATCCATGAAATGTGATTGACGTGAACTTAATCCACATTCAAATCCTGGTCTTTCAGCTCCTGAAAAACCAAATCCACCAGAAAACCCATTGCAAAGTTGGTTGAATGCACAAAATCAACCGCATGTATTAACGGATTTAACTCAATTGGCTCAACAACTGTTATATTGATACAATTGACGCATCCAAGGCTAACCCAACAAATTAATTAATTAGTCAATTCCTTTTTCTTCAATAAATAGACTCAGTAAAAAATCTGGTGATTTTGCTGATTACAAACATTTTTACTAAAGATACAGGCTGACCCATCGAGTTGAAAAAGTCCATTAGTGACCCTTAAATAACGAAATTGTATAGAACATTGATAGATACTAATCTAGTGCATTACCTAAAATTATTTTCAACCCAAAAATAAGTTACGATACCTAAAATTAATTTCAAACATACAGCATGTCCCAAAAACGAGTTACGATACAAACTTGTGTTTTTTTTTTAATGAAACACCGTATGTTTCTTTGCATTTTTGGATGTAGCCTTTCAAAACAATATTTTTATTAGTCGATTTCACTTTTATTTCACATGCACTTTTTAAAAATTTATTACACAAAAACTAAGACAGAACAAATTTTTTCTTACTTCTGCAAAGAAGAAAGTACAGAATTTAAAGCTGTAGCAATTTTTTAGTGTTTTGCATTTGTAAAGATTAATAAATTAAGAAGTTTGTTAAAAGTTAAATAACTGAAAAAATTTAAATGGAACCTCTATTTTTTATTTTTGCATCTAATAGATTGATAAATTGTCTATTTAAAAAAATAAACTTTTAAGGTCTAGAATTGATAAATGAAAAGATATTTAACATTTAATATTCATTGTAGCAACAATGCCTATCAATATTTGAGCATTGTTGATACTATGGCAACAATAGTAATTCCACCACAGATCACTTATCCGAAGATTTATCCAGAGATTGTAAAAGTCGTTATAAATAATAACATTCAAATTATTTTATTGTAAAAATAAAGAATAATGGATTTAGTTTAGAACAAATGTGATTATTAAGCGATATTTCTTCCATCTCTTGCGCAACTGTGCACTTTTTGGCTACTGAAACAATAGTATTTTTTTATGTTTAACGTTAAATATCTTTTTAGTTATTGATTATAAACACCTAAAAGAAAATAATTTTAGAAAGACAATTTAATAATCTTTTAAATGCAAAAGCAATAAATACGGTGTTCCATTAAAAAATTTTAAGTTATTGAATTTTAAAAAAACGCCTTCATTTTTTTCTCTTTGCAAATTCAACACACTAAAAAAATGTTACAACCTTACAGCTTGTACCTTCTTCTTTGCTGTAGTAAAAAAATATTTCTAGATGTCTTAGTTTTTGTGTAATAAATTTTTAAAAAGTGCATGTTTTCGTCAAAAAAACCGTCTTATTTTTAAAAATAAGCAAAATCGATCAATAAAAGATAAACTTAAAAACATTGTCATAAAAATCTACATCCAAAAACGCTAATAAGAAACATATGGTGTTTCATTAAAAAGTTTGTATTGTAACTTATTTTCGAGACACGCTATAATTGAAAATAATTTTAGGCGGTGAACTACATTAGTATCTATCAATGGCCTATACATTTTTTTTTAATTTTACCATTTAGAGGTCACTAATGGACTTTTTCAACTCGCTGGAACGACACCCTGTACATAACAAAAGGTTTTAGAAATATAGAAAGTTTAATTTTCCAGCACAACTCGAAGTTGTGTTCAAGAAACTTTTAATTCACTATTTTTCGTGTGAAATACTCTATTTAGAGACTTTAGTGTTAATATTTGCCATTGCATTTTTTACTGTGCAGAAATGCAGAAATTACGTGGCAGCCACATCCTTGGATGATCGAGTAAATGGAGCGAATAATGTGTGTTTGGAGTATCCAGAGCTCCAGTTTAGTGTAACCTCAGCCTTTTAATCTCATCTCACTTTCAGTGTGAATGCATTTGCATACATTTGTTGCACCCTAACTGTTGCGTGTAACCATCTACATCATCAGACACGCAAAATTTAAATCATCATTTGCGACACATGTACCGCAATCGATTAGCAAGGAAATAAAAAAGACATTAATTGACAAAAATAGGAAACTCACATGAAACTGCGTCCTGGCGTTTCTGCTCGCGTAGCTGAGATGTATTCCAAATATGAGAATAACTAATTCCCCTGTTTCTGTCACGTAGTCCCACCACAAGGGCTTGCAGACTTGGTAGTGCACCCCGTCTTGAGTCACCTCCTCTCTTAGTAAACTGTAGTTCTCTTTCAAAAAGTTGAGGGTAATTGAAGTGTATGCCGCCATGTAAGCCAGCACCGACATTACCATTATGAGGAGATACTTGAGGAGATCTGTGTCTTTGACGACCCATCTGTGGGCTTTCCTTGTGCGAAATTCGATCAGATGTCGGTACAATTTAAGGATAATCGCACCGTAGCAAATGATAAAGCCGACTTCTCTGGCCCAAGGCTCTAGTAAACACTGCACCACCGACGGCTCGAAAAAGCGCACAACGACCTAAAATCAACAGTATTTCATAAGCAAACAAGAAGAACCTAATCAAAGGCCTGATCGCGATTCAATGCATAAAATAAGGAGAGGAGGATCGTGCTAACAGCCCCATATTGGGCAAGTTGTAAGCGTGCGAAACGAGATTGGAGAGTAAGTGGATAGGTCGATATTGGCCCAGAGCTGCGTTTTCTTCCAGGATCACTCACTCGAGTTTACCGGTTGAAAAATTGATGAGAGGGTCACCTACTTCCTAATTAGCCAAACTACTCGAGTTTTAATTAACAACTAGCTGATGTGGTCAAATCCTCTCGGATTTGATTAAGAGTTTCATTTTTATTTAGTAAAGTGTCTTTTAGATTGTAAAAAATAATGTTTGGGTCACTTCGAATAGCTTCAGGTCGGTTCAGGTCACTTTAGGCCACTTTGGGTTACTTCGGATTACTTTGGCTTGAAAGAAAGTGTTAAATGTACTGACTTTTTGATTTTCAAAAGAAGAAAAATTCTTAAGGAAATGTTTGAATTTAGTAGTAAAAATTCCAATCGAGACGTTTCAAAACATCGTACTACAAAAGACAGTTGGGAAGACTAAGAAAGTGTCAGATGTACTGGATTAAAAAAATTCTAGACTTGCAAAAAAACATTTAAAAATATCTTTAAAAAATGCTTAAATTTAAAAAAATGGCAATCCAGACTTTTCAAAACATCGTCTTACAAAAGACAGTAGGGGAGACTAAGAAAGTGTCAGATGTACTGGATAAAAAAGTTTCTAGACTTGCAAAAAACATGTAAAAATGTCTTAAAGAAATGCTTAAATTAAAAAAAAATGTCATTCGAGACGTTTCAAAACATCGTGCTACAAAAGACAGTTGGGGAAACCAGATGTACCGAAATAAAAGAGTTCTAGATTTGCAAAAAAAAACATTTAAAAATTCCTTAAAGAAATACTTAAATTAAGACATAGTGTTGCAAAAGACAGTGGGGGAAACTAAGGAAGTGTCTAGAAATACCGGTTTAAACAATTTTGCAAAAAAAAACGTTCAAAAATTTCGTAAATACGAATGCTCACTGCGGCATTGCTGCTCGCCCCCTTCTAAATCTCACACTATCAGATATTGTAAAAATAAAGGAGGCTCGCGGCTTTGCCGCTCGCCTTCTTCTAAACCTCACACTATCAGATTTTGTCAAAATTTTTAAGGGAGGCTCGCAGCTTTGCCGCTCGCCCCTTCTAAACCTCACACTATCAGATTTTGTCAAAATTTATANGGAGAGTAAGTGGATAGGTCGATATTGGCCCAGAGCTGCGTTTTCTTCCAGGATCACTCACTCGAGTTTACCGGTTGAAAAATTGATGAGAGGGTTACCTACTTCCTAATTAGCCAAACTACCCGAGTTTTAATTAACAATTACTAACCGTGCAGTATAAGATGAATATTCCCACTAAAATCGTTTCCAGGATCGTCCACATGCCAGATGCAATCGACTGCAATTGAATAATGAAATTATGACGAGTCGGTGGGAAATCGGGATTTACCTTCGTTTTACGTTGCTTCAAGACCACCAAGGCAATAATGACAGTTATTGCCATGCATCCGAGTTGGATGCTGAGGATTGCAGTTTTCAAATAAACGTCTCTGCGAGCCGAACATATCCCATTTGATTCGCAAACGTCGCATTTCGAAGGACATGGACCACACCTGCAAGAGACAATCCTTTCATTAATTTCGTCCCATCCCTAAGTCGTTTGTCTTGTTGTCAAAAAAAAAAAAAGAAAAGGGCAAAATATCCACCCCTTATTGATTATTTGACTTAAAATAATGTTAAAACAGCTCGACATTAAACTTCTTAATGCCAACGCTCCTCGCTGACAACTTCCCGCATGTCTACACAATTACTTGATGAGATTACACGATTGAAGAGAATGAGAAAGTTTAATCAATAAAGTACCAGGTAATATTTCCTAGCATCCGATAGAAAAGCTTATCAACTCTAATTTTTATAGACAAGGTTTATTTTTGTAGAGAAAAGTAAGTAAATAAAAATAAGGCAATGAGCATAAGTAGGATCGTTGAGACTGATCCGGTAACAAGATCGTTCCTTACAGATTTGTGATTCAAACGTAGACAATGCGCGCGCTCTTTGACCCTCGTAAAACGTCTAGTGGTCTAGGGAATTTCAACAGAAGCTACTATTGAAATACAGATAAATAGTTTTCTGATTTTATTACAAAGCAAAGTTTATATGTATTGTTTACCAGTAACCATTGGTGTTGATTCAAATGTGTGGAATTTATTCTTAAAACTTTAAAAGCAAAACCAGTGGTTGCAGATTTCCGCTAGGTAGATTAATTTTTTGGTTCTTTGATAAAAAAAAGTTCTTGCCTATTTTAGGTCGAGAAGAGGATTTTGAGTTACATGTATTATATGTATTTTCAAGCAACTCACTTAAAATTAAAATTAAAAAATCTTTTTTTAATTTTTCTTTTTCTTACATAGAAGCAACTTCTTGACAAAATCTCGTTAAAATTAAGTTTTTCGAACACTAATTTGTGATTGTGACTTGTTCATAATTTCACATTCTAAACCAACATTTCTTTAATTCGATTATGAAACTGGCCCTTAGTTTGATAGTAAAATTTTATTATTTTATATAACACAAAACCAGGTTAACATTTGTAACAATCAAATTAAAGTCTGCAAAAAATTAATAATAGAAATGAACAATTTCGTCTGTTATCGTCATGCGATCTATAAATTTATCCCTGACTATGGTAAACTACCACTGGCCAAACTATAAGCAGCTATTTACAAATGAAACTGGCATTTGTTAAATATGAAATAAGCATAAAAATAATGATTTTTTTCAAATTGTTCTTTCAGAAAAAAAAACCGCGACTTGTTTCCGATGTTGTGGGGTTTAATTTATTGTTGAATTTGCTAGTTACACGAATTGTGATTTTTTCAACAAGTATCTGTTTAATGTTGCAAGATCTGCCGTTTCCTCAGTTCAAAAAATCAAAGATCTATCTATGTCGTCAAAAAAGGTTTAAATTTTTTTTTGTCACGGGAACTTTAATTCACTTGATGTCCTTTATTATCACCCAAAAGGTGAACCGAGACTTTTTAATCACTCTGTACAGCACTTACAAACTCAAAAACCAGATCGAAATGCCAAAAAATGTTTTAAACATTTTTAATGAAAATTTTTTATTCTGTTCATTTGATAATAATTATTGATTTCCGATTTGCATGTTTTTTCGATTAAACATTTTTACTTTTACCATTATTGACATTGACCAATATTGTTTTTTTGCCTCTTTCGCTGCTACAGCAATCGTCAGCATTTGACATTTTGCACTACTAACTGCACTAGTTAAATTAATAAACACTTTCGAAAATATTAAACACACATTCCTATACTGACACGTCATGTTTGTTTATAAGCGTTGTTATGGTTTCATTAGCTGCAAAGCGTCCTGATTATTTTGTTCATTTACTTGTTAATTAAGTGTTGCTCTTTACTCTTGAACTGAATACGTTTGCAGATAGAATAGTATGTTATTTGGAGTAAAAGTAAGTTTATAGCTCAGCTGAAGTATTTGCCTCACTACGTTCAGCTTTGCTGCATAAATTATCACTTTTAGTAGTTTTTTTCCTTCAACTTTGAAATCAATAAATTTTAACTGATTACTGTTAATTTTTCGTATTAGTTGCCAGGAATTAATTTTCTCACGTAATGAAACGGAGTTTAAACAAACAATATTCTAAAATCAATCAAAAATGGCGCCAAGATCCCATTTAGCAGTCATGAGTTTGTCGTAAAGTCGTGCTGTAATAAAAATCGAGAGTATCATGGCAAGCTTTAGAAATCAATGAAATAGTATTCGCATCTGTGTCGGAAAGCGTCCGATGCATTAATAATTATTCGGGAGTTTTACGTTCATAACTTTTCCATGATACATTGCCGAGAGAATTTTATTCGTAAAAAATTTCAAACGAGGATGACCCACCCGTAACAATATTTCACAATTATGTGTCGGCGTGTTTTCATCCATAAATCCAACTTGGAATAGCTTTCAACTAGAAAAGTTATTAATCGAATTATACCGCAAAATGTAAATGCGTCTGAAATTCTCCTTGTCTGCCATGCCGGTGAAAACAAGCAGATGAATCGATGTTGGACATTAAAAGTGATCGTTTACTTCCCCATTTGAGGGGTCAAAAACAGGCAATGCATTAGTGGGGCTGTGACAAATGGAAGTGTATGAGCGACTCTCGATATTCGAAAGTAAAGGTGAATTGGATTATACAATGTAAAATTGATGAAGTCCGTTGAATGGGTTAAGGGAATGACAGCCGCTTGTGTCAAAGATATCCTTTCCAGCTGCACAAATTTCAACCAAAAACATATTTGATGGTGCAATAATGAACTTAACACATTGAAAGGGCAGTCTAGGAAAGGAAACAAAAACGGATAAACTTTCAACACAAAACCCAAGCCATGATTTTTTGCACTTTTTATTAAGCTACGAGTTTGGGACGTAAAATAGTTTACTTTTAAAATATTATGATACAACAAAATGAATTTTGCTCTTGTTTACTGGGATAACAGTATTTTGTTCATTATTCTCAGAAGCGATGGAACTCCCTTGTTTATTATTCATATTTGGTGCGCTAGCAGATAGAGAACTTTGACACCATCTAATTTTTTGGTAAAAGTACTAAGACGGTCACTTCAAGCTCCAACTTTCCAATTTGCTCAAAAAACGTGGAAATTGATAGATGCTAGTTTCTTATCATTTTTGGATGTAGATTTTTATGACAATGTTTTTGACAAACTTTTATTGGTTGATTTTGCTTAGTTTTAAAAATAAGACGGTTTTTTTGACGAAAACATGCACTTTAAAAAAAAATATTACACAAAAACTAAGACATCTAGAAATATTTTTTTACTACCGCAAAGAAGAAGGTACAAGCTATAAGGTTGTAACATTTTTTTAGTGTGTTTCATTTGAAAAGATAAAAAAATGAAGGCGTTTGTTAAAAGTTCAATAACGTAAAAAATTTAAATGAAACACCCTATTTATTGTTTTTGCATTTAAAAGATTATTAAATAGTCTTTCAAAAATTATTTACTTTTAGGTGTTTATAATCGATAACTAAAAAGATATTTAACGTTAAACATTAAAAAAGATAATTACTATTGTTTCAGTAGTCAAAAAGTGCACAGTTGCACAAGAGATGGAAGAAATATCACTCAATAATCACATTTGTGTTAAACTGAATCCATTATTATTTATTTTTACAATAAAATAATTCGAATTTTAGTATTTATAACAACTTTTACAATCTCTGAATAAATCAACGGATAAGTGATCCGTGGTGGAATTACTATGGTTGCCATAATATCAACAATGATCAGATATTGATAGGCATTGTTGCTACAATTAATATTGAATGTTAAATATCTTTTTATTTATCAATTCTAGACCTTAAAAGTTTATTTTTTTAAATAGACAATTTATCAATCTATTAGATGCAAAAATAAAAAATAGGTGTTCCATTTAATTTTTTAAAATTATTTAACTTTTAACAAACTTCTTATTTTATTAATCTTTATAAATGAAAAACACGAAAAAAATGCTGCAGCTTCAAATTCTCTACTTTGTTGTTTGCAGAAGTGAGAAAAAAATTGTTTCAGCTGTTTTAGTTTTTGTGTAATAAATTTTTAAAAATTGTATGTTTTCTAAAACTAAGCAAAATCGACTAATAAAAGTTTAGCGTAAAAACATTGTTTTAAAAGGCTACATCCAAAAATGCAAAGAAACATACGGTGTTTCATTTAAAAAAACACAAGTTTGTATCGTAACTTATTTTTGGGACATGCTGTATGGTTGAAAATAATTTTAGGTGATTACTTGATTAGTATTTATCAATGTCCTATACAATTTTTGTTTAATTTTACCGTTTAAACGTCACTAATGGACTTTTTCAACTGGCTGGGACACCCTGTATATTATGAACTTTAACTAGTTTGTTGATAGTTTCTGTATTTATTAAGCTTCCGTTATTATAATGATAAGCTGAATTTAATGTTGTGGTAAAGTAGAACAATATTATTTTCCATCATCATCGTGGTAACATAAGCAGCTTTAATGTAAGTCCTTCATTAACGTGTTCGTGTAAAGCATCAACATATAAAAACTTAATCTTTAGCCAAAAACAGTGAAAACAAGGAACCAATTTTTGTCGGAACAACTGATCACAATTAATTAAAGTCATATATTTAACTTTCTTCTTTGAGTTATTTTATGTTTGTTTGTTAGAAACCAAAAAATAAATGAGCCACTAACAGTGGTCTCGTGAGATTTATCAGTTTCAAATATTATAGTCGAAAAAGCAATATATTAACGCCCCGAGCACTACAGACTTATAAAGCCCTAGCAAACACTGATTATGTGACTTGAAAATTGCTTTCGATTTATTGCTTTTTACAGACTAAACTAGATTTTTTTTTTCAAAAAGTCCAAAATAATACTTAGATTGCATTTTACAGATATATTTTAGGTGAATGTGCGGAAATATGGGAATTCATTGGATATTTCTACGGAAATTTAAGCGTGAGAAATTTTTAATGGTTTTAATGGTTTTAATATTACCCAGAAAAATAAATTTCATACTCAAAAGACGCGTCAAATATGGAATAAAAGGGGTGATGAAGAAGCGGGAAATTTAATTTTCGGTGTGATAATTCAGACAAATTTCTATGAATTTCAGAGCTCGGTCTAAGAAAAATGTAAATTTTATCCCTGATTTATATCTCCCTGCTGCATTATGGCTTTTTTATGGTAATGTAGTTTTTTATTTAATATCTCGCGGCAGTTTATCCCGGAAATTACTATAACTGGGACGTCGCGTCAATAACTAATTTTTGAGGCCATCAAAAAATTTGTTTTACTGACCTTGTCGTATTGATAATTCCGTTCTCGATGTCTTTTCCCGAAAAGCCTTTCCAGCTGAGGTTGGCATCAGGATGGAAGAATCCTTGTCGACAGAAACAGGAATATCCCCCATTCTTTTCGGCGAATTCTGGTTGTGAGACGCACTGGAATTAAAAATGAAAAATTAGTGGTGAAAACTCTCATACCTCCGTCGCAGTTTCGGTAATCTAATTCGTAAGTTTCGGAATGAAATCACTTCGCTCCGACTGAAAATTTAATATTAATTTGTAAAAGCATTTTATCGTTTGAAGCGCTTACACTACGCCAAAGTTATGGACGGTTTAAAAAGCAAATACAAATTTAATATTTGTTAGAAAAGACAAATATTATAATTCGGCGTTGAGCAGATAAGGATGTTCGGAAAAGCCGCAAAACAGGAGTGAACTACAAACAGTCCTACTAATATATACTTTCTCGACCCGACCTTTGCACTTGTATTTTAGGGTTGAATCTTTTATACCATCTATTTCCAAGAGAAACTTTTGGTTTTAATGAAACTAAGGACACATTTAGAGGAGGCAACTTTAAGCAGAGTTTCGGAGTTATGTCCACACACAGACAACAAATTTAGAAGAAAAAACAGTAGGAAATATGTGAATTACAAACCAACATGTATAAATTTCAGCTTTGAAAGCAAATAAAGTTAAATTGATTTTAGAAAGTCGATATTCTAGGAATAAAAGCTGAAATAACAAATGTAATTCCCATACCAGAGATACATGTTTCAAAGTAACAAATGTCACGGCAGATGCACCACTAAAATAGTAAAGTCTAAATCTGTAATTATTATGGAACCAGACATGCAAAACTCGAAACTATGATTTTAAATTTTCTACCACTAAGACTGCATTTTATTAAAAAAAAAATAAGTAGAGCTTATAACTTTTGAAAGTTTCTAAATTTTTTGCAATAAACCCAACCGCAACTTTCAAAGCTAATAACTGAATCAAAAAACAGAAAAATGTTACTCATTTTATTATTCATGGAGTACTTTAGAAAGTTATCACGATAAATAATAAATGTAATAGAAAAATCTTTTATGCTTTGCTTTGAAATTCAGTGTTATTTCAAGAGATTTCGTTGAATTAATACACAAACCAAGTCAGATCAAATTCTTTTTTAACGGGAGTTAGATATGAAACACGAGGACCTCCAAAATTCTTTAAAAGTGGTTGTTTTTGACAATTTTTATTGTTTTTTTCGTTAATAGTTCTACAGTATGTCCTCGGATTGAGTTTACAAGAGGAATTTTTTTATATTTGATTTTACGCCAAAACTTCAAAGGAAAAATAGTTTTTGCTTTAGCTGAAACAAGCAAATCTGTAATTAAAACTTCATTATTCTAACTCAGTAGAAAGAAAAGCTCATTTTTTTCTTGATTTTAGACTTAATTTTTGTCTGCTTTTTAAATCCCATCACATTGGCGGTTTTATTTTTTGACAATTATGTCACTTTAACAAATGAGTTTTCGCAAGTTAAATAACAAAAGTGTTTGTGAAAATCATAATTTTGTTAAATAGCAACTCAAAAAAAACAGCTTTAAGATGAAAAAATGTAAAACAAAGTCATTATTTAATTAATAAATTCATATAGTTGTCAAATAAATAAAACCACCAATGTGACTTAAAAAGCAGAAAAAAATTATTCAAAGGCCAAAATCAAGAGCAAAATTAACTTTTCTTTTCGCTGAAACAGAATAATAAAATTTTAATTACAAATTTGCTCGTTTCAGATGAAGCAAAAAATGTTTTTTCTTTGCAGTTTTGACATAAACTCAATCCGGGGACATACCGACTTGTATATAATGAAAAAATAATTACAAGCCTGACCTGAATTAAAGTGATTAATTAAAGAGTTGTAATTTGTACTTACGTATGTGGTTTCCTGGTCGCACTTGTGTCGTTTCCCGAAAATCTCTTCCAAATTATCGTCACACTGATCCAGTTGTAAATTTAGAAATAAGGCGGTTGTGAGATTGCTCTTCGTGTCGACAAAACCGTAAAACCAGTTGCCTTTCAGGAAATGACAGTCTCTGAAAGCCGGCGTCCACCCCTGCGTCTGATTTCCTAAACCTGTCCAAAAAGCTTCATTTTCAACAGTCTTATTAGGAAAAATCCTCAGTCTTCGCGCAACGTTGAGAGCTAGAATTTGTTCATTGGGAGACTTGAGCATAAGTCCAAGTACTTCAGGATGTGTTGACAACGTGAGACGGGCGATGTCCGAAAAATTATCACTAGCACGATTAGCAAAAATAGAGCTCGTAACAGCAGTAACGTTTAAGTTCAGTCTGGATGGAGTGGTTGGTTTAGAAAGAAAACGGATTTTACAATTTTCATTGTCGTTTGCTGCATGTACGGACGTCAAGAAGAGTAAGAGGACAACAGCTTCATTCATACCGTCATTATATCATCCTCAACTTCATGCTTTCAAGGGAGACCTAAGAGAAATGAAAGATAGAGATTAGTTTCCGTTATTGAACCAACAGCAATTAAATTAATCGTTCCGATATACGATACCGAGAAATCATTGGTGTCATGTCATCTGCTCTGTACTAAGTGTATCTATTAAATTTCATATCGGGAAAGCTCACTCTAAATTGAATTGCTTGATCGATTGGAATTTTCATGTTCATTGGTATGGAAATGAAACTGACTAAATGCAAGCCCAGCTTATGTGAAAAAATTACCAAATATTTTGTATTTTTTGTTAAAAAAATTTAAGTAAAAATAGGGACGCTTCTACATTTATGCATTCAGTTTTGAATGGGCTTGTAATTATTCTTTGAAAATATTTATGAACAAGTAATTTGAAAGCTTGTTAAACCTTTTACAACGAAGTTTCCTAATGAGGAATGAAATTTCTCATTGACATTTTCGTAAACCTCCACGCTAATTACGTAGAATTAAACATCAGAAAAGTAATTAAAGTTTAAAATGAGGTAGTGTGAATATAACGAATAAATTCATCGAGTGTAACAAATACAATTAAATTAGCTCACTAAATTGCATATTATAAAATTTGTTTTTTAATCTAAAACTCTCAAGTCTAAATTAGTTAACTCCACACCGGCACAAAGCTGTCGCGGATAATTTTAATTAATGCTTCATTTTCTTCATTACAAGATTTAACAATTGTACAGGGAAATGGAATCAATCATCTGAAAACACTAATTTTATTTGCTATAATTATAAGTATTATAACTAAGCCTCGGATTATATGCACGAAAAACATGCGCATATACATGCACGTATTTTCACAAAAATATGCACAAAATATTAAGAAATATGCTCCAATATATACCAAATATATCGGTATGCAAAATTTTGAATAATAAAAAGTCAAACGTTTTTTGCTTAAAGTATTTATTTTTTGAAAAAACTAATTCATGAATTATAAAGTTCTATAAAAATGTGATATTTTATCAAAAATATTATTTTTCGAAATTTTTGTTATTTGGTTTTTGAGTTTTACAAAAATATTATTTTTTTTTAAATGGCAACCCACCAAAAAAAAACATTTTTTTCATGAAGGGATTACAACTATCTACTTTATATTAAATTATTTTTTACATATATTGCAATTTAGACAACAAAAATCGAATAACTCAGAAACAAAACAAAATTTTGTTCTTAAAATAAGATCATTTTTTATATTACTTTAATTTATATTAATTATTATTTTATTTGGAAACAAATGATTTAAAAAAAACCGCTTAGTTCAATACAATTTAAAAAGGAAACACTCAGCAGGGTACTTACTAATTTTTTGAGTTTGGCTTACGAATTACCGGTTGTTTTCTTTTTAAGATATTTTGTAATCAGATCATTTTTCATAAACTATCTAATTTTTAACTTGAACTGAAATTTTTAATCGGAAATTAGTGATTTAAAGAAAATATGCACAAATATGCAATATTTCCTAAAATATGCACCAAGTTGCCAAAATATGCAAAATATGCATTTTATATCTGGCTTATTTTAATCAAAAAACATTAGATATGCATAGAAAACTTACAATTTTGTTGATATACGAGTACCTCTTAATAACAAATATGCATTTTGCATATAATCCGAGCCTTAATTATAACAAAGTAACACGCTAGTGCTGTTTAGAAATATTTCAAAAGAATGAAAGTAAAAACCCTCTAAATATTTAGAAGTATTGTTTACATGCCTATTTACTGAGAGGATGATAAATTACGGTCATGATGAAAATTAATTAAGAATTTTATCAAGCAATTTCTTCAAAAGCGTTATTGGATTAATTAATTATGGAATAATATTGAAAGCGTGACTACACGATTATGGCGTTTTTTCTTTTGTTGTCAATCAAGTGTCTACTTACTTTGTAAATTATTCGCACTTGGGGAAGTAGAACGAAATACTACTATCAAATTCGCAACTATTTAATCCATCTAACAGGAAGTTAAGTAACTAATTAAACTTCACACTAAGGGATACGCTACAGAATTATAATGATGACACGTAAGAAATATTCCCGTAGATTTATTTGAGCGTCACCTCATTTGGTTTTGTTAGTTACCTTGAAGCTCGCTAATTTATTAACTCCATCCACTCTTCTATTCCGTTAGTTAAAATTGTCTTGCAAATTCCACTATTTTACTAAACATAACAACAAAATTTGAAAACAGTTTATTTGACTTACTTTTAACAAGCCACCTGTTTCACCAACAAAATTAAATTTCATTGAATGATAGTATCTTCAATTTCTGGCTTCTGATCGAGTGTTTTTAATATCCTGTTTTCGAACGTAAAATTCTTTTACATAAAGCTTCATATTTCACAATCACCATTTCTAGTCACAAATTACAACACATTTTGTTCGATTTCATAAAAAGTTGACAGCAGCCCTTTGTTACTATTTTGGTCCGAATAACTTCAAAACAAAATTTATTTTTGAAATTATTAGCCGCTTTGTACGTAACCATCTATCACTAAATGATAAGTTTGTTGACATAGCCTCAATTACTGATGTATTAGCTTCATTTGTGGACGCAATGAGCAGAAAATTGATGATTGATAATAATGGGAATAGTTGCACATATGTGTTTAGGGCATAATTCTCAAAGAAATCCATAAATCTGATTCGGATTGAATGTGATAATACTGATAATTGGAAATATTCACTCCTATTTATCTGAATTTTGATATTTATTTTATGTACAAGATGAAAAAATCAAACCAGTGTGTTTATAACAGTTTATGAAGAGTAGAATAGGTGAATAACTTGGAATCTCGGCTATTTAGGTATTATTAGCTAGAGAAAGGGATTACAAGCATCTAACAACGATAGGCGTTGAAGTGGACTGTAATTTTATTCTCCACACGAGTTGTTGTTCTTGTGCTCTAAATACTCAAAGCTACACAAAAACTGATACCGTAAGCGCCAAATTTCGGTTGAGTAACTCAGCAATTATTTTTTTAAATTTTTACTAAAATTTATTAAATTATATGGGCAAAACTACAAGGATTTAGACAGGATTCAAGTCTTTTATCGCATCGTGAAGGTGGAACAAAATGTGCAGATTTTTAATCACCAGCAGTCCACTCGAGCAAACTTATTGAAAAAATTTTACTACCTAAAGAAAAAAGTTTGGTTAATTAATAACTTAAATAAAACCTCGAATATAAACTGAACTGGCAATGTAGTGGCCAACCTAAATATCGGTTCCCACTTTCGAAGCGAGATCAATAAAGAATCTCACTGCAGCAGCCTATAACTTTTGTTCGCTTATTGAAATATAATTGACAAGTTGTCAGTTCGACGCTATCGTTTACCCATCATTCCTTTGAAATATTGATGAGTTGGCAAAAATTAATAAATGTTTTTTTAATAATTGTTTCTTATTTATAACAAATTGAAACCACCAAAATGTTTAGCAAAAAAGTCTGTTATACATCAGTATAAAATTCTTATGGGAGATATTATTCCAACTATAAAAGTGAATCTGCGATAATTGAGCTACAAGAACGATATAAAGCTTAACCACTTTGGGTGACAGTAAATCTACTGTCAAAATGCGTTTTAAAGTTTGGTATTTATTTAAATAAATTGCGCAGTGTTAAAGGTCGTAAATTTATTAATTTTGAGCAATATTTACGACGATCTTCATCAGGCAATAAAGTTGCTCGTATATAAAAACATTAATATTTAGTAGTCCCAATAGTTTACATAATAAAGCTCATTGGTGAAATATATAACATTACTCTTTCATCGATATACCTAAAAGAAAAAATGTACAAATTGCAAACAGCTAATTAATCAATTAACTTAAAACATAAAATTTATTTTTTCTTAATTTATTATTACTTCCTGTAAAGAGAAATTTTTTTGTCCAAGAGATGATAGTGATTATTCAAGAACAATTAAAAATAAAAGGAAACAAATTTTTTATTTGCAAAAATTTTAAAAATTCAAACATTGACTAGTAATAATATAACACTAGAATGTGTGTATCCACGTTATTTGATGATAATTATGATAACTGCAATATCAATAAGACTTGTTGGTGTTCTTGGTTGTTCCATCGATTGGTGGCTATTTTTAAGTCAATTTGAGGCTGTGGGTTTTATTTTCTAAATTCGTATTGCGTGTGGAAGCCTAATTTTAGCCACGAATTAATGCTTAAATTTGGGTGAACACTTTTAACAATTCTGATACGAATCTGGTTTGGCAGAGCTATACTGACCCGTATTTTTTGCTAAATAAGTGTTGTTTTAAAATACGTACAAAAAGAGTTTCTGTAATGACAGGGTAAACTTGAATTAAAATGGAAAGTCATTAAAAACCTTGTTAGGAAATTCAAATTTGATTAGTCGCAGACTCGCCCACTGAGTAGAACAAACAGATAAAAAGCAGGAGCTTTCTTTGTGGAAATAATTGGAGTATTCATCATACAAAATTAGCATGATACTTTTTAGTTGTAGGTGAAACTTATTTAATATGCACTCGTGAATGTAACCCCTTTAAACGGTCGACACGGAGGTAATTATCCAGCCTGGATAGGAAAAAAACTCGTTAGCAAAAGCAGCGAGCAGAAGACGTTAAAAGCTCGGATGCCACTTTGTTCCTTCAAAAGAAGGTGCTTGATGTCACATATTCACAAAGTGAACAACACGCTTTTACAAAGTAGGTAGTTCTATGTGGTGACTAAAATCGCATAAAATCAAAGTTATTGGAGCAGTGGCGGAGTAACAGGAAACGAAATTGTGTTAGAAACAGAAAACAAGAGGCAAAAGATGGAGAAATATGTCATATGACAGTCCCCTTATCCGCAACAATTCTCTTTCAAAAATTTCCTTTGACTTTATATGGAATATCACCTCTGAACCAAGTGTGTACTTCTCATCCTTTATCAGTGACATCGTTTATTTTCTCAAGAACGTGTCTTCTCAAATTTTTCTAGTGTGCGTTACATGATGGAAGAGAATCCTCCGAAAAACGACAATCAAAAAAATTAAATTTCATCAAAAAATTAAATCCCATAATTCAAGCTTAAAACATAGATTGTGCTCTAAAGTCGATATGACAACTTACAGCAACCATCTACATATTTTAAGTACATATTGCACGGTGTATCCGCAAGCTGTATCGATTTCTTGCTCCTGGCGCTATCTTTCTCCTGATTAATATGACCAAATGGGATGTCATTCTCGCAAGTAAAGACAAAGACCAGACTTGTAATTGTCATCAAGTTTTGTCTTACACGTGAACTATTTTTGAAATGCAGGACAAGTTATTTACTGAATCTGATGGCAATAGTTTCATGGAAATTCTATTAAACAGTATTTGCCAATACAACCACAAAGATTAATCTGTGCTTGTAGAAAACAAAAGCTCCTGTTGTGTAATTTTATTACTACTGCAATTAGAACTTGTTACGGAAACGCGAAATATCAGCGTTAGCTGAAATAATAGAAACTGTATTGAGTCGGATCACGCATTGAACATTCATTCTAATTAAAATGATAAATTGCTTACAGAGTTTTTTCTATTAGCTGTAATTGTATCACGTCTCTTGTGATAGTTAGAATACTTGGATTCTGGGATAAAGACATTTTTCTTAAAATAATTTGCGCAAGAAAGAAAACAAAGCAGTAAATTAAAACTTCAAGGGGGAATTGACAAGTTTATCGCAGTTCTGAGTACCTTAGGCAATAATAAAATTCATCAATTTTTTCCCATTTATTGGAAGAAATGTAAAGAAACAATTGTACTTGCTAAAAAGGTATAACAGGTTTTCCTCTCTATTGGTCGGAAACGCGTTTGGAAAAATACACATATTAATTTTAATAAAAGGTTTCCTATTTCTGCAAATAAAAAAATCTTGTCGTGAAACGTTGCTTTTTTAAAGATCTTCTCCAGCAGTGGTCTTTAGGAATCCACTACAAGTGTGAAGGCAAAATGCAATTTTTGCTTAATTTTGTTTCCTACATAGAGAGTGGTTGGTTTACTATTTTTGTAAGAAAAATTTTAAATACACAAATTGTAGAAATCTTTTCACTTGCAAAAAAACGCAAATTAATTTTTTTTATAATGTAATTTGGCCTGTTAATAAATGTTACTTTTTTGACGTTCTCTTCGTCACAATTTTATAATTGTCAGGCATCTTCCAAATTTCTATCAAGTTTTTCCATTTCGTTTTTAACACTGACTATGACATTGCACTGGCAAGACCACCAAATAAGACAATTGTTTTGATAGTTTTCTAACCTTTTTGGGAACCACCTTTTTCACACTATGTAGATCTCTGAAAAATTTGACAATTTGCGTTTTTTTTGCACTCAAGTGTACCTATAATAGAAAGTAGAGTTTCTACCGAATTTGGTGAAACTAGTACAAACTACAAAAATAAATACCATAGATTATTAAATTTATCAGTTTTCAATAAGTTATCATTCAAAAACATATTGTCTAATTATAGGCAAGTACCTTAATTTGTTTCTTATTTTTTAAGGAAAAGTTTTGATGTGAATTTGCTTGAAGTTTTTTACTAGTTTCGTTTATAATTCGAGCATTGAATCCATTTTCAATGCCTGCTCTTACGACTTCCTTTTAATTTCCTTTGGCCTTTAGGTTGCACATCTTAAGTTGGTAAAATAATTGCTCACGAAAAGAGTCGAAAAGTTTGTATATTGAAGCAATAAAGCAATGAAAATTTTAATGTGCAAATAAAAGGTAAGTTTTAGTTTCAAATTTCGTCAGTTTCAATAAGGACCCCATTTTTTATTTCAATCGATTTTACCAAGTTCCACTTTTGATTTACGGTTTGATAATGGGTTAGTTATATTTAGTTAAAGCGCAATCATATTTTCTGTTGTTTATGACAGAAAGACGTAAACATAAATATTTTTAGAATCAATATTCATCAAAACATAAACCGAATCTGATAAGAAAAATAATTCTAAAATCTGAAAATGAAAATCCAGTGTTTTATTTACACGTAAACAGAAACTACTTCATATCCCGGTATATTACAGTACACAATTTGAGTGCGTTTAATTATTTCGACTTATGTGTAACAAATGTTTCATGTTTATGCATTCCAAAATAGCTTTATTTAGCTTAACTTCATATCGAATTCAATTAAATTTTTCAAACTTTTAATGGGATTATTCACGAGCAATGAAAATCAATTGGTCACGGTTGCGATCTTCATAAACCATTTATGACACTAAAATGCCAACTATTTTCAACGTCAACATTAAATCGTATTTGTTAAGACAGGGTAAACAGCGGCATAAAGTAAGAATTTTTGATTATTTCTTTTCCTTTATTTCGGATCAAATAAATGCGCAATTGCGAACACAGAAGCGTTATTTTCCGATTGCTTATTTATGTGAACAAGGGGATTCTTTTATAGCTCTTGCCGGTTAAATGCAAACGCCAAATGTTCCATGTAATAATAACCGATATGAGCTTTATTCGAATTCAGTGAAATCGCTCCGATAAAATTAAATCTTTATTTGAGCTTTTTGAAATGTTTTTCTCCATACTAAAAAATCCGAATTGTATTGCCACGCAGAATAAATAGTGTAAAATTTAAACAAGGAAGAACGAGCTATACTCACGCAACGTTTAACAGAGAAGACAGCAAGAAAGAAGAAATGAATCACTCACATGACACTATAGAAAGTCTTAGAAAAGATGCCGAATAGATATTACGTTAGCATTTTAAAGTTAAGTAGCGAGCGAAGTTAAACTGATCTATGAGAATGACGAGTACGAGATCATCTGGGAAAACGAGCCAGGGGTTGGCACGGCGCAGCTACTGGATCGACCTGGGTTTCCATAGAAACCGGCGGGAATTTCTACAAAAACATTGTAAGAATCTTGAAGGAAATTATGACCGGGATAATAAAACACAGTAAGAAATAAATGATTCTTAGATACAGCTTGAATAACAATAAAAATCTAAAAATAAGTCGTTAAAAGAAGACTATGTCCTCGGAGAAGGCCCCCACGAGCCTGAATTCATTCTTGTTCAAAACCGCTCTGAGAAACTGCGGACATTCCGCTGAGTAAGTCGCCGGTCTCGGCACTGAGACTCTCATAACAATTTCCCTCTCATTGGCTTGAGGAAATGCGGCATTTCCCTTGACACTTTTCCCGTCTTCGCTCACTTGTTCCGAAAGAATCATATTAGCTGCTTTCTGAGCGTCGGAAAACATGCTAACAATTCGATTACCCAAAGTGGAATCGACTCGATCGGCAATTTCCACTTCGCGTCCGCTAACCAGATTCCCAATCAAATTAGATAAATTCTCATCAACGGCTCCCGAGGGATTAAATTTATACATCAGCGAGTTGACTTGCGAGATCCGCAGTTCAAGTGCTGTCACCTCTTGAATAAAACTCTCGAATCGCCTCAACTGGAGTTTACTCTCTCTAGAAATTCGTTCGGTGGTTTTAATCAGAGCGCGCAATCTTTCGACCGAGTCCGGAAGCTCGCGAGGACTCTCTTCGCCCAATCTGTAGATGGCGATGTGGCATAAAACCGGGATTAGCATCTCGCATATCTGACACAGATTTCTGGAGTCCATGAAGTGGAGCACCTTTTCGGCCTCGCGGGTGTCGTCAAAAAGCCGTTTCTGGCGATGGGCAGGGACGGGTTTGGCCGATTCCCACGTCTGCACCCAGAAGTTGTCCTCTATCATCATCCGCGAGCTTAATTGGCCCTTCTTCTGGCCCCATTCGTCCAGGTCGTCGCCCTCGATCCAATCCCGGGGAGAGTACCAGCGAATGAAATCCTCGAGGACTGAGCCGGGATTAGCAGCTTTGAACGACTCCATATCCGAGAGGAGGGAAGCACTCATCATTTTAGCCCTCAATTCGGAACCTTGAGCATCGGAACCCAATTTGAGTAAAACATCAGTGTCCTCCTCCAACTGGTCTTCACTCTTAGGGACGGGTTCTTGCGTGATGGGGATGTAGAGAGGATCGCCGGTTTTTAGTAATTTCAAATTGTTGAACTTTCCGAGTCTTCCCACGGGTTGGTTCCATAGGGAGTACTTTTCTTTCTTTTTTGTCTCCTCTTCAGGTTTATCTGCACAATCGAAGAATTCTTCCTCATCGGTGGATGAGCCTTCGGCCGAATCAAAGTTAGTAGCGGTGTTTTCACGTGTCTGTTTTCGCTCAATGCAACAGTTTAGCATTTGGAGTTTTTGGTGTAAAAGGCTAGTACGTAAATCAGGGTAACCAGGTAAAAGTCTGAAACCAATAGAAAATCTTGTGTAATTCTCAAATAAAATCAATTTTTTACATTATAACACTTATCATCTGGCCATGTCGGTCTACTTAAACGGCGCAAAAGTGAACGTAAAATCTTTACATTGAACAAAATTTTATAAACTGAATTGAGTAAAATTTAATTAAATGAAATTCGGTTAATATATGTAAACATTTGCCTTATAAATTTTAAATTATGTTTAATAATTGCTTTGATTCATAATTTTTACAAAAAATTAGAAAAAGTTGTGGCCTAGATACATTCGTATATGTCGCAAAAAACTACAAGTTAAATACAAAACACTAAATCTACCTACTTATTTGCAATTACGGACAATTGTTCGAAAGCAATTGTTCGAAAACAATTTGTTCGAAAATCCAGTTGTTCGAAAGCAAATTGTTCAAACAGCATATTTATTGATCGAAAACTGATTTTTCGAAAAAAATGTAGGCAAGTAACATTTAACAAAAACAAATTTCTTTTAGTTTTTAGTTTCTTCGTAGGCTTCTTCGAAGAAACCGGTTGAAGATCAGCTCTTACGTCTTCCATATTTTTAATACTTGTCAATTGTTGCATAATTATCAAAAATTAAGGAAAATACATAGGCTTTGTTGAGAAAAATTAACATTTAGAATTAAATATCTTTTAATTTATCAATTCTAGACAACAAAAGTTTTTTTTTTTTTAGATAGACCATTTATCAGTTTATGAGATGCAAAAATAAAAAATAGGGTGTTCCATTTAAATTTTTTATATTATTTAATTTTTAAGAAACTTCGACATTTTTTTAACTTTTCAACTGCAATCAATGCAAAAAATGTTATAGTCTCAAAGTTCGTACTTTCCCTCTTTACAATGGTAAAAAAAAATTCGAGTTGTCTTTTGTATAATAATTTTTTGTATAATAAACTTATAAAAAACTAACTAAACTATAAAAAACTTTTTGTATAATAAATTTTTAAAAAGAGGATGTTTTAGCGAAAAAAATCAACTTAATTCAAAAACTAAGCAAAATCGACTAATAGAAGTTTAGCTTAGAAACTTTGAAAATAAAAGCTACATTCAAAAATGGCAAAAAACATATGGTGTTTTATTAAAAAAAAAAGTTTGTATTGTAACTTAGTTTTGAGCCACCCTGTATAAACAAAAATATTTTCCTGAAATGCGCTCTAGAATATAAATAAAGTCTACAAAATATCACAATTCCCACTTAATTAATAATAACTGAGCTACAGAAGACCAGAGCTGAGATGAATATTCTTATTTTTGTATAGATTTATGTATTTTTTTAACTTTATAATTAATTTAACAATTGACTAGTACTAAAAATATAATATAAATTTTATTTCAACAATTTCAACACCCAACTAATAAATATTCTTGTTTTAATCACCCCTACTTTGTTCTAGATTGTGCCTACAAAGATATTTTTCTAACAAGCTCTAAAATAAACTTGTTTTTGTTAAATGTTACTCGCTTTTCGAACAATCAGTTTTCAAACAACTAACTTCGAACAATTGGCTTTCGAATAATTGCTTTCGAAGAATTGACCGGACACCACTTATTTGATATTTGAAATTGCGAATCTTTGGCAATTTTATTTAAAGGTAGTTGCAAAATTAATTCAAAAATAATGAAAAGGGCTAGATGAATACAAATAATTTTCCAACGAACAAATGAATGAAGAAAATCTATAGTCGCCGTCAAAAATGGTTCCCGAAAAGCTCATAAAAAATGGAGAAAATTTCGTAATTTAAGAAAATTTTTTTAAAAACCGTTATGTTAATAAAACTTGTACGAAAAAAATCCCTTGTATTTCCTCATAAAAGCAATAATTCCTTTGATATTCCCATAAACTTTACGTTTCATGACTGAGTGACGCAAACAGAGAAACTGACTCAAGATTTAGTGGATCTCTCTCCAGATTATTGTAATTTGACCACGAAGAAGGCAATGCTAATAGGGATTCCACGTCTATGCAAGATCCCACGATAAACTACACTCGATCGATTAAATTCCAAATAATTGAAGGTTGTAGGGAGTTGTAACGTAACAGATTTCCATAATAATACAATGACCAACCCAAGCATTAAAACCTCATCACGGCATCTCGCAATATGCAAGTTAACAATTAAAATTAACACAAGTTCAAACAAAGAATTGTAAGCTTCTCGTTTTTTAAAGAATTATCGCAATTTTGTGCTTTCTACTGATATTCTTCGTAGAGAATCGTTCCAGCGGGCGCCACAAAACGCCTTCGGCAGGTGTATAATACCAGCTAAGACTTCTCTATGGTTGCGCGTCCAGTTAGCTACAAGAACTGGTAGGTCGATGTTGTGTGAGTGCATTGGTCTTTCAAGACTATCGTGCATGTGCAGTTTTACAAGTTACAACGAAATAAAATTGCTAATGATTAGTCTTCGGTTTAGATAAATTAGTGCAACTTCTTAGCCGCTTATTGGAATATTTTCAAGTAAGTTGATAATAAAAATTTTAATAATAATCAATAAAAATGATTAACTTTTAATGCACTCTTATCAATGCAGTTTCCGGTAATTTAATTATAGTTAGGAAAAGATGTTAAATAAGTAATTTGTGATAATGGTGCAGCAAGTCCTATAATCGATGCAATTTATACTTCCTTCGTAAACAGATACACATTAAAAGCAATTAAGAAGTAATAAAATTAACAACGTAGTTTTGTAAAAGTAGCTTCAAGATCTTATTGCAATAAAATATAAATTGTAGTAATTTTGTGGGCAGAATGAAACAGAAAGTCCAATATCGTTAAAGTGCATCTAAGAAGGAAATTACTACTACTTTTTACAATTCAGGTTTGATTTAAAAGAAATAAACATGGAATGTTTGAAACTTTAAAAAATCGTATTTTTACTTTATTTCTTACATCTGTGTTCTTCACTTGAATACATTTGCATCTAATTAACTTATTATGAATATCGTAAAGCGATAATGACTTGGGATTTTTGGACCACTTCACAGAAGAAGAAAAAAGATGCGGAACCTCGTAATTATTATTGTAGTGATGTAGTTATTTTTTTACCTTGACAGCCAATCAGTTGGTAATATTGAATAGTAATTCTATTAGTGAGGTATCGAATGTGAATACCGTGATTGCTGATCACTGATAACCTTTTACTAGGTAATATTTAAGTTTAAAAAATTAAATTGCGAAAATAAATACTCGCACTATAATAATTTATATAATAACATATAAATTACCCACAATTCTTCTCTGGGAAATTATTAAAACAAGCAAAGCATGTCGATTCTGTTACAAGTGTTACACATACCTTTCTTGTTATTCCTCCACACCTTGCAGAGTAAAGTGTGCTAAAGTTCGCATAGTTTAAGTTTTAAGCATAGCTTAGTTCTGTGACTTTACTTCTCAATTCATTAAATTTTTTAAGAAATAGTGAAAAGGATTCAAACAAAAAATTATGACTTTTTAGAGTGATTGGCAATGAAACTTAAGCTATAACCAATAATTATCTTGTAACTTATACCAACCAACACATAATTCGCACACAATCTTATTTCACAAGGATATTGGTCGATGATTTAATCAAGTAATTTTTCTCAAGCATAAAAATGAAAGTTATTGATTTTTACTTCATCTCAATCGATTGAGATCAAGTGAAAATTGCCACAAAAAGGAAGATTTCTGTTTCATGTCATGAGTAGTTCACGTTTTGTTAAAATGCACCCAAGTATCAACTTGATCCTTTTTTATTTAAAGAAATGTCCTAGAAACCACGAAATCGCTAACTAAATGTTGCTGAGTAGGTTAGTTTTATGGAAAAAAAGCAATAAAAATTTATAAGACAAAATGTACAGTTACTGTAGACGACGAAAAATGCGGATGTACCTTTTTAAATACGGATTTTTATGTATTCATTGAAATAAAGATTATAATATTCAAAGAATTTTACTTCGCTTCACATCCTTTTCTGTTCATCAAAATTACGATAAAGCAATTTGACATTGAACTTTCAGAAAATTATCACTTGTAAGAGTGTTCTGTATTGCACACCCACGCTTTATAATAATAATTTGACAATAGACATAAAATTTCAAAATTATTAAATGTAAATTTGCAATTAAAAAAACTTGTTATGATTTGCATGTGATATTTTCCCGCTATGAGCATTCTATGGAAAATTCAACATTCTCTAGTTTTACAAAGATACGCTTCTTTGATTGAAAACTGTAGCCAAATGTTTATTCTTTGATGCCTACCTTGGATAATCTCCGGAAGTTTGAATAAGACATTGAGCCAAACTAGAAAAATTGTGGCTCTTTTCCTGTAGGTACGGGAAATAGGTAATAAAAAAAATATAATCGTACTTCTAAGTCTGATACAACTCCGCTGAAATTTAGCTCAGACTGGCAAAAAGTATATTTACTTTTTGTTAACTACTTATTAAGTAGTTTACTTATTTCCACCTCACGTGTCAAAGGATAAATTTTATTTTCATAAAGTTTCATAACTAAGCTAAGCAACTTTCTGACTTTTCAAAGCAAACATAAAATTCGATTATATTTATTTAATAAAAACGAACTTTGTTGCAAGTGACACAGTGATAAATTTCAAGTTGGTTAAAATTGTTTATTTTATTTCTCTAAATATTAATTCACCTTAGACGAATTTGTCTTCTACAAAAATGTGAGATGCAAAGAGTAGAGTTTGTAAATAAGAATTCCTTTCAAATTTTTGAAAAAACTTGTATTATAGAAATAGAAATAGATTTATTGATGTTTAAGACAACGTGTCATACACAGGTCAAATAATACATAAAATACAAAACTTACAGGTTAAAATTACAGTGAAAATAGTCCTCAATATTATATAAACAGTTTTCAATTAAAAATTCCTTAAGTTTCTTCTTAAAAAGACATGTAGACAAATTACAAAAGTCAGTTGGCAACATATTATAAAATTTAGTACAAAAATACCTTGATCCAGTTTGGTTTCGCTTGAGACTGTTAAATTGTGTGACAAGCTTGTTACTAGTACGAGTACTATAGGATAGGCATGGTTTTCGGAATGGTATCGAATTTTATCGTATTTTTTTGGAAATCTCATTTAAGTTATTCAAACAAAAAATCAAGAAATAATCTTGAGTGAATCATCATGTACATCTAAAACTATAAATCGGAGAGCAATATTGGATTATAACTCAAAACAAGTAAAAAAAATGGTCTTGAAACTCGATAAAAAAATATTTTTTGGAAATCTCATTTAAGTTACTCAAACTAAAAATTGAGAAGCAATCTTGAATGAGTCATCCTGACATTTTTGATAAAAAATTGTTAATTTAACTAAATGTGATAAAATGTGATAAAATATTCAAAGCCACTTTTTATGGGAGCAAAAAACCAAAAATTTGTTATTTAAACAAAAAAAGACTATTCTTGCCACAAATTCAAAAAATAAGAATAATTATCATCAAACTAAATTTTACGAAATATGAAGAATTAAAATCACTGCATATTTTTTAAACTAAAACAATAAAATTTTTAAAACAAAAAGGGAAATCTCTAAATTCTAGTTTCTAAATTCTAGTGGTAGTTTTGAAATTTATATAATTTTTTATTGAATATTTTGGTGTCGAAAAATAATAATAAATAATAGTCAAGCAATCCAACATGAATCACCCTATATCTTTTTGACAAAAATAAAAATTAGTATCTTAAAATGTTGAAATGAAAGACTAAACCAGACAAAAATTGAAATTTTGACAAACTTTTGTATAAACTTTTTTAAAAGAAAGAAAAAAATTATTACTCAGTGTTGACAACATTCAAAAAATAACTCATTAAGCAATTACCTTAGAAATTAACCGAACTACAAAAGCTAAATTTCATTCTTCATTCTAAGGTTTCGAAATAAGAACAAATGATCTTTTTTTTGTTTTTCGTATTTTTTGTTAAATTTTGTTGTGTTGAGAAAGGAAGAGATCAAGATAAAAGTCAACATTCATTCAGACTTATTTATTGTTCCAATTTTAATACATTTCATAAAAAACACAAGTATCAGAAAAGAGCAAGTAAGATCTTGATTTTATTTTTTATGTAGTGTGAGAATGTTTACATGCTACTATTTCTAAGGTAAACCCTTGAAAAAAGTTAAGATAGTGTGTCCATCAATTAAAATATTCGCGAGATAAATTTCGAATTCCAACTTTCTCAATTTTCACCTTGCATTTTAGTTAATTCGCTAATGTTCCACATATCATTAATCACGCTCCCAAAGTGCTTCAGTTTCTTCAAAAATAGCAAAGATTCATATAAGCGTGAAATACACTTATGTTTGTAGAAAACCGGGTTAGGGAGGGCAAGGATGCAGATCGCATAATTATGAGGTGAACACGGTTATTAATACCGATTGAGATGCTAATTGGTATTCGGCAAGTGCAAGACAACTAAATGGGCCGACGGCAAAACGGACGCGACTCCGTTCATTGACTCTAACGGCCCGCCAAACTGTTGCCCAATGAATACATCACTAACTTCTTTTGGTAAAGATGCAACAACTGCTACCTCGCATATGAGTTAATATTTTAAAACTGAAATCGAATCCGCTAGAAACTAAATCGGATTTAAAATTTTCAACACTCTCACAATCAGTCAAACTTTTTATTGATCTTGGGCGTCCTAGTTTTGGCAAAACACTACTTTCCAACATGACGAGACGTAAAAATGACTGATTCCATCAAAAAACCGAAAATATTCTAACACATGCTGGTTTGTTATTTTAATTATAATCACCACTTTCGACTTTTCTAGCTCAATGAGACCAGCAACCGACTTCAAATTAAGGTAAATTTAGATTTTGTTCTAATTTTTTATGTTAATGTTTGCACTCGCAATTGAACATGCAGTGGAAAGGAAAATGCAGTAATGTCGATTAGATATTAATTGAAAAACGGTAAACTTTAATTAAAACTTAATTATTTTTCGCTAAAATCAAAGTGTTACTGTACTCGATCTTTCTTTACCGTAACTACAACCGTTTAAATGATTGATCTACCAGGAATCAATGCCGTTACGATAGTACAATCACATGTGACATAGTAATAGTTTTCCACCATATACCAACATCTCTCTTGAAAAAATAACTTAATAGATGGTACCTTTGATCCTATTAGTAAGCTTCACGTATTATAAGATTTGCTAGAACCTTGGTAATGATCTTGTATGGTAATTGTTCCACATTTTGACTATTTTTATTATGCTCTCGAATCGTGACTTTGTTAAATACCTTAAATAATGAAATGAAAGTAAACCCTACACGACATCAACTCTTACAAAATTATCCGCTGTACTGAAGCAGGTCATTTGAAAATGTATACATGATTCTCACCTTTGCTAAATGCCACCATTGTTACAATAATTTGCGAAATAATCAGCTGAAATAACAAAAAGTGAGCGCAACTTAATTTTCCAGAAAAATTTGAAAATATTTAAACTAAGCCAAACGTGATATGTTTAAATACATGTTGCAACTACTAAATTGAAAACCAATGTCAATGCTGAAACTCTACCAAGACATGTCACATAAAATTTATATTTGTAAACAAGTTTGGGAAATTTAAAAGCAGACTGAATATTTACTATTCATTAGTTCGAAAAAAACAGTTCCGGATTTTCTAACCATGACATACGTTGAAACTTTTATATTTGAATTATGGAGTCAACGCTCCAAAAATGTTTTTGGTTTCCAGCAATGTATCACTTTTTAATTGTTGATCATCCAGAATAGTACAATTTTTTTATTTGCTAAAAAGATTTCATGTTTCAACTGGTTTTTTACTTTTTTAAAAGAGTGAATAAATATTTTTTTGTAAAATATGCAACAAAAAGTAATCGCAGAGACTTTGATAATTCTTATTAAAATCCAAGGTACAGTTTCGTGTACATTTATGAAAATTTTATTCACATGGTTTTTACTTTATCTTCCTCTTGGAATATTTAAAAGACACAAACTTTGTTTTCAACATGCCTAACGTGAGAATTTATATAAAACAATTGTTAAGGTGTCTGCAACAATGTTTCAGAGTACTAACAACTTGGAACAGATCTAGAATTATTCATTTTAAGGTTAGATTTGTTTTTCTTTTATCATTTAAAAATCACAAGGATATTATTCTTACGTATGTGTACTTACAGAGGTTTTAGTAATTTTTTTTGAAACTGTAGACATAAAAGTATGGTCTTGGTTTAAATGCATGACTAAATTAGAGGTTACAGAAGATCGATAAACGTAGCCTTAATTTGAAAAGAATGTTATAATGTAACCAAACCAGCCGATGAATGCAAGAACGGTGTTTATCCTTAACGCATAATGGGTACAAAATATGAGGTGTATTTTAAGGTACATTTCCTAAGCCTATTTTTACAGGATTTAAGCACCAAGCTTATTATTATATCTCAATTACAAGGCTCCACGTCTGTCGTACAAATTGTTACTATATTTAAATAACGGATTCTGCTACGGAGTACTAGTTTTTGTAGATGATTGAGTTAATAAATGTACACTTTTAAGTCGAGTAGAGTTTTAGTTCCTTATTTGTTATGGCAAATGTGACAATTTAATTTGATTTACATACAGTAGCGGTTCCTCTTTGTAGTAACTCCTAATAAAACAGTAAACATCTATTTAGCCACTAATCACTGTAACCTAGAGAACTTTAAATCTTCAAGCAGATTAACTCCTCAATAATTTAAGATAAGAAAAAGATCATTTGTTATTACTGTTCCTTGAGAGTTTCACTATCATTAAGAAAGACTAGAATTACAATTTCTAACTGTTCATATTCATAAATTAATATCTTTAAAGCTAAGCTTAGAGAACATGTAAACTACATTTTCTCTTAACTATCCTCGGATGACAAGCCCGTCCGGTTTCTCAAAACAACTACTCTAATTAACTAAATCTGTTCTACATATGAACACACCTGACATGTACCTATTCTACTATTATGAAGAAGAAAATTAGCTATAAAACCTAAATAAAATTACTGTAACAATTCTTCATGCTTTATACGCGTTAGGTAACATTTGTAAATTCATCACACTATTCATTCATTTTGAAAATTAAAATTTCCATACACGTCTGAGTTTATTGTTTCCGTTTCCTTCAAAATACGAGGAGTGTAAACAATCCCTTATCTCTGCATATAGAGAAAATAATATTTTTTAAATATTTTCAGTGGCACTGGTAATTTTTTTGTCCATTAGCAAATCGTCTCATTTGTTCCCAGAAGCTTTACTATAATATCACGTAACTTATCAAGATTAGGCAGAAATTATTGCTTTTGCAAGTCGTAAAACTCATAAGATCATTAGATTTGCTTAAATCTGATTGAATAACTGTAACTTAATCCTAATAATTTTACATAATCCAAAATTGGTACGAGCAAATACAGATTTTAACACAATTACAATACAACACATGTCAAACCCGTTAAAGCTTTTAAACCAGAAATAATCCATCAGTAGTGTGAACATTCCTTCACAACACACGATTTTGCACATTCTTCTACCGTTAAAGAACAAATGTGTAATTATCCATAATAAATATATGTGTGTCCATTCTGCCAACACATAAATGGCAATGGAACGAGTGTGTGAAATTTTCAAGACTATCGACTGAAATTTCAAAGTCTTGTAGATGCATGCGAGCTTACGCTCTACTGGTGGTAGATTATTGTTACGTGACGAAACTCGCTCACTTGTCCTATCGTGGATTCCAACGTTCACCTATTTATCTAAGGACGTGAAACACTAATCTCCTAATAACTCTATTACAAAAATATGCTATTAAAACTGCATGCTTTCAACACAGAAACAAACGTGCTGCACTTGATTAACAACTGTTTTTTTATTGCGGAAAATCGCATTTTACATAAATTTTTTAATCTCATCCTCAGTCGTTACCTAACGTTATTTTTCCAGAATTTATCCACGGTTTAATCTATAGAATGGGTCTCACAGCTTATTGTTGCTAATCTATATTGCTAAATCGCGGTATAAAGATCTTCTCATTCGATAGTGGACATATGCTATAATTAATACTCTAATATTATTACCTCTGCATAATAGAAAAACTTTCACTAAAGTAAAAGAAAATTGCGTATGATGTAACCCGAGACACATCTCCATGCCAGGTGCATAATAAATGATCCATTTCGAAATCTAGAAATAATAGAAATGTGGGAGATATTTCGATTATTGATTAAAGAATGTGCAAGGTAAACCACCTCGACGACGATGCATTTTTTCTTCGACAGACCTGTTATTTTATAGTGAACACACGACTTATTGCCTTGACCTTAGCAAGTCACGTTTCGGATGGAAAATAATTAGCATTTTAATAGGAAAAAATCGCTGGAAGGGTCAAACAGCAAATACCCTTAGGCCAGGGAATACCGCTAGGATGTTGCTCGCCAACTCGCGGTCTCTTTAATAAAAAAATAAAATTAAATATTCTAAAAGTGACCTACATCTTTCTTGTCAACTTTTTACCAAAGCCGAGGATTTTATTACAGACCTTATGAAACGCTTTAGATTTTAATTGAGATTATTCGTGATAATTAAACTATGTGAAAAACGGGACTGTAATAATACAATTAAGATTATAACAGTGCTAATAACCGCTATCCGACTTTCAATTATTATATAATTTTGGCAAAATTTAATAGATTTGTGGCCTCAAGGGTGCCCCAGGGGTATTTAAGAAGACGGTTGAGAATTGCAACACTAGTGAACAATTCGAGACACTCCTAAAATTCAAACGATGAGAAATGGTGTCATAAAAATGCGCTTGCCCAATATATGGGTGTAGAATTAATTATTGTTATTTCATATATCTAATTTAGAACCAAATAATAATAACGAAAGGAATTGTGTGAAGGATATTTGGCAAGACTAGAAAACACCAAATTTAATAATTTTACCGTTAGTTTACTTATCGCTTTGGAAAACAAAAAATGAATATTAACAACACCTTTGTAGCCAGCATAACTGTAGAATTCGTCACTGCGAAAAATTGCGATTTGCGATATTATCAACACTTTCTTCGAGTTTAAAAGAGAGAATGACACTGTGTCTTTTGCAGGTTGGTTGACCATAACGGTCCTATAATCTTCACCTAGAGCCCCAGGCTGCGGATACTCACCAACCAAGGCCCATCCTTAAAACCTTTGATATTTTGCAACCGAAACAATGATCGATTAGCAAGTTACATAACGGCAGAATGGACATCAAATGTTACTATCATAGGTTGTGGCAAAATATTTAGGTGAGTAGAGTTTTGTATGGAATTTTTGTTATTTCAAGTTTTTTGATAGCACCTCATTTCTATGCAAATTTAATCAAATGAACCTGATTTGACCCAATTTTTAATAAGCTTTCAACGAAATCGACACAAACAATTGATAGCATTGTAACGGCAAAAATCTAACGGCAGAAAAATAACTGGTGCATAACACTCCTGAGCATTAACAAGACGCTACGCAATTTTTTATTGTGCAAAAACGTTTAATTCATAAATGACTCGCGACCGATGTTGTCCCATTGTTTCATTAACACATTACCCAAGAAAAAAAATGGGGCAGTCAGAATTTGTTGCATGCATTTCACATTTCTCACCTTACATAACATGAGAACTGAACGAAATCTCACAAAGGGGTCTTTCTTTTTAATGACATTACTGACGAGTGATACATAAATGGAAATTATGGCTTGTTTACATGGGAATTTCTTATTGTGACATTCAGCAGAAATGCTGAGGGACGACCACATTGTGATCATTATTTTAATTCCAATCAATGCAAAAATGTCTGCGGTTTCTTCCGCTCACTATTGCTAAATTAAATGCTTTGGTGCATCTCCTTGTTTCGAAACAATTCGCACCCATGGTGCGCCTAGGCCAAGCAATGTCACTGACTTATGATAAATAGCTCTCACTAAATAAATCATTACTATTAGTAAATGATTTTTCGATTTCAAAGATGAAGCGTAAAAATTAGAAAAATAGAAAAAATTTGTAAACACAAAACAAAAAGATGATTCAGAATTGTTGTTAAAGTGTTCAATATTACTGATTATGTAAATTTATTCTCTTTTCACTTATGTTCTTGAAATAAAGATAATTTGTTTGCTTGTTAATAAGCAATAACCACTTTCTTGTAAAGAGTACTAAACAGCAGTCTCAAATGATAGTCAAATAAGGTTTCTTGAGAATAATTATTCGTTTCATCGCAATTTTTTAAATTATTTTAGTGTGTGTTATCGAAAGATTGCACGGACCTCGACTACCTTCTATATGATTAATTGTACAAGCAAATAAATGAAATAATTTTTTTCTGCCTTTCTCAATCTTTTGATAGATTAATTTAACTAACGCAAAAATATAAAACTGAATTCTGAAGAAAAAAATTTCAAGCAAAGTTTTGAAAACTCAAACTGACTTTTTAAAATTTTAAATTTAAAATTTGGTAATAATAAAAAAGTAATTTTTTTTCATGTTTCATGATCTAAACTCAAAAATTGTTTGTATTATTTTTTATTTTCGAAAATTTATAAAACAGAATTATACCAAACTTTAACTTGTAACTTTAACTTTAAAGTTGTAAGAACCCAAGTACAAATAAATGTAAAAACGAGTGTAATTAAACAGATATACAGGGTGAATATAAAGTATGAAATCAAACGTTTTTTTTTTAATCATTTACCTCCAGAAAACAATAATAATTAATAATAATAATAATAATTCTCCCTCTGTCCAAAAATAAGTGTCCTGTTTGTTCATTTTTCTAAAGTTAACTTTATTTTGCGAAGGCTATGTAAATT